CTACCACCACCACCACCATCCACCTACACCATCTATACCTACCACCATCTATACCACCCCTACCATCACACCACCACCATCTGTACCACCTACACCACCATCTATACCACCTACACCACCATCTGTACCACCTACACCAACATCTATACACACACCATCTGTGCCACCTACACCACCATCTGTACCACCTACACACCATCTGTACCACCTACACCACCATCTACCACCTACACCACCATCTGTACCACACCCCACCCACCACCTGTACCTACACCACCATCTGACCACCTACCCACTACCTGTACCTACACCACCATCTGCACACTACACACCACCACCCTACACACCATCTGCCCACCACCTACACCACCATCTGTACCACCTACACCACCATCTGTACCACCTACACCACCATCTGTACCACCTACACCATCATCTGTACCACCTACACCACCATCTGCACCACCTATAATAATAATGGTTGCCCCTCATGTAACGAGGATGGCCGGCCCAAGGGCCACCTAGGCGTGAATTTGTTTAAGGTGTAGAAGCTGTCTCAACACAACATCACCTGATTTAACAGGCTGCATGACCCGAAATTAATTTAAATTAAGCTGTCGCCAACACAACAACCACACACTAAGTTAACGAGCTGCATGACCCAGTGTTTAAGGTGTAGAAGCTGTCACCAACACAACAACCACACCCTAAGTTAACGAGCTGCATGACCCAGTGTTTAAGGTGTAGAAACTGTCACCAACACAACAACCACACCTTGAGTTAACGAGATGCATGACCCAGTGTTTAAGGTGTAGAAGCTGTCGTCAACACAATAACCACACCCTGAGTTAACGAGCTGCATGACCCAGTGTTTAAGGTGTAGAAGCTGTCGCCAACACAATAACCACACCCTGAGTTAACGATCTGAGTGACCCAGTGTCAAGGAATAGTCTGAGAATTTTCAAGTGAAATTAACAGTTGGGCTTCAGGCGACGACACACTCGCTCCCTCCTCGGAAACTTGATTTAATTAACAGTCAGACAATGAGCACAGGGAGATTATACACCGTCTCCCCCGACCTAACACCACAGTCTAGACCCACAGCTGTGCCTCGTTCAGACCAAACTCCCGGGTCATCCTTAACTTGTACGTCAAAACAACTTCTAGCACTCGCGCTTTACCTGGTCACCCTACTTCTTGAGGTGTTCACCCCCCTTCAACACGACTCTCAGCTGGAAGACTCGATCAACTCCTAGATGACTCTTAGTGGCGGTAAAGTACTCACCAAGCACATCTTACCGCCAGTGTGGTGCAGCCAACGAGGTACTGGTGGACTACATTCTTCCTGGACATCTTAAGGGTCACTGACTGTGTCCTAGGCTGTAACTCACTCTCGTACAATGGCATAACTGCGCATCACGTTACATTGTTTTTTGTTAAGAAAATTTTTAATATATTATGATGTGTTGTGAAGTGCAGAAGTGAGAAATATGGTCACTGCTGAACACTGCTGTAACAGTCTGTCAAAGTGAGTGAAGTTAGAATACAACTGGTTTACATGTCACCAGTTATGTACAACAGTCACGTTCCTCTTCTGCCTTCCACTTCATAACATCGACTATAACATCTACTGGGTTGTAATAACAGACAGATGTATATATATATAAGGGTAGAGACTCTTACCTTTAGATGAAATGGGATTAAGGTAAACAGCATACTGTCCTATGCTGCCTCACCCACAGCCATTGTCAATAAGTTTTACAAGCTGAGTACGTATTAAAAGGGTAGGATCACATTTTAATTTTATATACTGTACCCATCTTGTCCTTCAAACTCACAATGGCAGTCTTTTTTATAAGTCTTTCAACTAAACCACACCTTAATAGTCTTCCTCGTTGTCCTGAAAGTAGCGCCATTACAGGTGGCAGTTCAGGTTTCAAAGGAGATACTAGTCACTTTGTGTCAGATCTTGGCTGTTGAGTCGCTCGAAACTACAGTCGAGAATAATACACCAGTGTGACATGAGAGTTAAGGACCAACACTTGTTTTATCCCGGGAGACGTCGAACAGTTTTTCAATTAGGCCAGCATTATAATAACCATTATGTGGCGGGTAGGTTAGGTTAGCAGAAGCCTTTTGACATCCCAGAGAATCGAAATGATGATCTTGCCAACAGAGGATTGACTTCTGAACTTCTTGAGATTTGGAAAATTTGTTAACTTCTATTGTATGGATTCCACCTTTGATACGGGGTCCTAGTGCATGAGTCCTGGTCTCTTCTCGGGGTTTGGCTTCGTACAGTTCAAAGGCTCATCGCTGGAGGCCATCATCTGGGGTTTGGCTTCGTACAGTTCAAAGGCTCATCGCTGGAGGCCATCATCTGGGGTTTGGCTTCGTACAGTTCAAAGGCCCATCGCTGGAGGCCATCATCTGGTATAGATCTTAAGCACTCATGTTTTAGGGACACTGTACAGAAGCATTACACATAATGGTCACAATACTTCCATATGAACTGTCAACCTTATGTCACCAACTTTAATACGCCAGTTCGCACTCTCAAGTTCTGGACTCGGTATCAGTTTATTCCTTCTCGGTGACATCTGAAGACTGTCATGGCTGGGAGTCTTCCTCAAGGCTCTCACGCCCACACTTTAAAACCCTCGTCAATCTTGTTATGGGGCCATGTGAGGCGGTATCTCTGTTATATAATCCCAGTAGATGGAACCTTATTTTGTCAGGGATTTTGTAAAACTCGTATGCTTAGTTGTGTAAAATATGGTGTTGCTATCGTTGGTGTGCTCTGACTGGTGACACCAGGATGTTTTAACACCATTTTCTTTCATGGTGTGGACGATACTACACTCGATCGCCTAAATTTCCCTCAACTGTAACATCAGGTACCGATTCACTGCCGCACCCTCAGCTGTATACAGTATACAAGGCATCTAAAGCCCCAAGCATTAACTATAAAGACAAAACAGTAAACCGTATATACCACCTTTTGACATGATACACTTACGACCCTGTGGCATGATACACTTACGACCCTGTGGCATGATACACTTACGACCCTGTGGCATGATACACTTACGACCCTGTGGCATGATACACTTACGAACCCTGTGGCGCGATGCTGGGCATGACCCTGTGGCGCGATACACTACGACCCTGTGGCATGATACACTTACGACCCTGTGGCATGATACACTTACGACCCTGTGGCATGATACACTTACGACCCTGTGGCATGATACACTTACGACCCTGTGGCATGATACACTTACGAACCCTGTGGCATGATACACTTACAACCCTGTGGCATGATACACTTACGACCCTGTGGCATGATACACTTACAACCTGCTGTACAACTAACACAGACACAGTAAGCAACAAGAGTCGATCATCCTCACCAGAGTTTCTCTCCTGTCGTCCACACTTACTGTACAACTCGCCCCAACAAGTATCTTCACGGAGGGTGATCGATCAACGTCACAATGAACACTGTGACTCCTGTTGTCTCGGGAGGGTTGTCAGAATCCTTCGTCCGTTGTGTCATATTATACCACACAAAATGGTGAAGACATTTTTTGGAGGGAGTTTACAAACATATTCCTGTGTTTGTTTACTTTTTCTTCATATTTTTGGTGAATTTTTGAAACGAAATTAAAAAGATAAATCTGCTAAGTTTTCCATCTGAATTCAACGCATCAAATAGATCCTAGAGAGTTTGCTTCCCGGCGTTATACACAAAATGTTTACAACATTATTTTCTGAGTAAAACTGTTGAGAACTGGAGAGAGGAGCCGAGTCTCGTGGGCACAGGAGGAGGCGGTGAGTGGTGTTGTGAGAGTAAAGTGGGAGGAAATAAGAGGGTGGGGGAGAGGGGAGGATGATGGAGAGGGGAGGATGATGGAGAGGGAAGGGTGGAGGAGAGGGAAGGATGATGGAGAGGGAAGGATGATGGAGAGGGGAGGGTGGAGGAGAGGGGAGGATGATGGAGAGGGAGGATGATGGAGGAGGGAAGGGAAGGGTGGAGGAGAGGGAAGGATGATGGAGAGGGGAGGGTGGAGGAGAGGGGAGGATGATGGAGAGGGAAGGATGATGGAGAGGGAAGGATGATGGAGAGGGAAGGAGGATGGAGAGGGAAGGGTGGAGGGGAGGAAAGGATGATCGAGAGGAGGATAGTGGAGGAAGGATAATGGAGAGGGAAGGGTGGAGGAGAGAAGAAAGAGGATGATGGAGAGGGGAGAAAGGCGGAAGGAGAGAGAAGGATGATGGAGAGGGAAGGAGGGTGGAAAGTGTGAGATAAAGAGGGCGAGTGAGGGGAGGATGACATAGAGGCATGACTGTGGCTTCTCCTGTGTATTATTCGTATTTTTTTTTTAAAGGTGAAAGACATAAGGCAGGACATTTTCGGGGCGTCAAATGTTGTTCAGTGGTGCAACGGAGAGTGACCACCTCCCCTCCCCACCCTTTCCCCCTCCCCTCCCCACCTCCCCCCCCCCCCCCCCCCTCTCCTACCCTACTTCTGTACCTGTGCTCACCTGACACTCCTGTAGCCCCGTACTTTCTGCCTGCTAACATCTTGGTCAAACTATATTCGGGTTATTGTCTTTATTATCGTCTACACAAACAATAACAACGCCATAACCATCTATTATTATTATTATTATTATTATTATTATTATTATTATTATTATTATTATTATTATTATTATTATTATTATTATTATTATTATCACATTCGTCATACATTAACAGTGACAATTTATACTGTTTGTATGTTGGTGATTCATTTTATTATCTTGATACGTACAATATTATCAGCATTATAAAAATAGTGTACTCAGTTTGGACTCATGGAGTGCTAAATTTAGACTCATCTTGTACACATTGGACACATCATAATGTACACATTGGACACAATATCATGTACACATTGGGCACATCATATTGTACACATTGGACACATCATCTGTACTGTTTCATCCCTTCAGGTACGTCATGGCCTAGCGAAGAAGTCCCTAGAGGCGGTGAACAGGTGGGCGGAGCGGCTCTATCGGGTGTCACCTCAGGCCCTGCGGCATGACGTAGCTGTGTGGCTTACAAGAATCGACCTTGGGGGACCCTCTGGCTACGCTCCCGTGGCAGGAGTGTGTGAGCCTTCCAGGTCATGTACACTGAACAGGGATGAGGGCCTTACCTCCTCCTTCATCATCGCTCACGAGATGGCGCACGTGTAAGTGTCTGATAGTCTAGTTACATGTTGTTGGTTAGGTTAGATTAGGTTAGGTTAGGTTAGGTGTAAGTGTCTGATAGTCTAGTTACATGTTGTCTAAGTGCTGTACAACTCGCCCCAACAAGTATCTTCACGGAGGGTGATCGATCAATGTCACAATGAACACTGTGACTCCTGTTGTCTCGGGAGGGTTGTCAGAATCCTTCGTCCGTTGTGTCATATTGTACCACACAAAATGGTCAAGATAAATTTAAGAGCGAGACAAGGAAGAAAGACATTGAGAAAGAAAGGCTGAATGAAGAGCAAGAGTTAGAGAGGAAAAAATAAAACAATGATGGGAAGGGAAGAAATTGGAGAATTTAGAGAATAAAAAAAAATCACCTATCATCTCCCTGGATAACTACCAACGATGTAATCATTGGCTGAGAGCATTGTAGTGGTGTTCAAACATAAAGTCTTCAAGTACACCATTCCCAGCCAATGATTGCATCTTTGGTAGCCATCCAGGGATATGATTGGATGTGCTTTGATACTCCTGGTTTACGTGCGAGTGTTATAACTCAGCAGCTGGAAACATATAGTGAAGATATGGTAAAAGTCTGGATACATACATACATACATACATACATACATACATACATACATACATACATACATACATACATCCTGTACATACATACATAAATGAAATAATGACAAGTGAAAAGTTACCTGTAAGGATGTGACCGAAATTGAAAATAAACTGCATTCGGTTACGTTCCTCTTTCCCTGATCAGCTGTGAAGGGTAAGTTGATCAGCTGTTAGGGTAAGTTGATCAGCTGTGAGGCTAGGTTGATCAGCTGTGAGGGTAGGTTGATCAGCTGTGAGGGTAGGTTGATCAGCTGTGAGGGTAGGTTGATCAGCTGTGAGGGTAAGTTGATCAGCTGTGAGGGTAGGTTGATCAGCTGTGAGGGTAGGTTGATCAACTGTGAGGGTAGGTTGATCAGCTGTGAGGGTAGGTTGATCAACTGTGAGGGTAGGTTGATCAACTGTAAGGGTAGGTTGATCAGCTTGATACTTGGACAATACAACAGAAGAGGTGAGAGGTCTTACACTGTCTGGGGTCTAACAGTGAAACACAGGGGAACAAGAACGTGACCTGCAGGGGAACTCAGAACATGACCTGCAGGGGAACTCAGAACATGACCTGCAGAGACTCCAAAAGTTCCTCACGACCTATTCACTCAGAACTTTAGAAATTCTGTCAAATATAACCAAACCTTCTCACCATTGTACAGTACAGTAATAACACACTAACTTCCACACACTGGCATTAAAACTCTCATTATACACAAGTCAGAAACTGTTCTTTGAAGTTTGGGTGATTGTGAATTTTATTATACTCAGAGGAAAAGTCCAGAGGGAGAAATACAATTATGGAAAACAAAAGTCGTGTCAGTCCTCTACTCTTATCGATGAACCCCGAGACACATGAACCAGTGAATCCGAGACATGATACAGTAAACCATCTATGAACCCCGAGACACATGAACCAGTGAATCCGAGACATGATACAGTAAACCATCTATGAACCCTGAGACTCATGAACCAGTGAATTCGAGACATGATACAGTAAACCATCTATGAACCCTGAGACTCATGAACCAGTGAATCCGAGACATGATACAGTAAACCATCTATGAACCCCGAGACTCATGAACCAGTGAATCCGAGACATGATACAGTAAACCATCTATGAACCCCGAGACACATGAACCAGTGAATCCGAGACATGATACAGTAAACCATCTATGAACCCCGAGACTCACAAACCAGTGAATTCGAGACATGATACAGTAAACCATCTATGAACCCTGAGACTCACGAACCAGTGAATCCGAGACATGATACAGTAAACCATCTATGAACCCTGAGACACATGAACCAGTGAATCCTTGAGGTTCGTATATGGGAGACAGAACTGACAGACTGACATGACTTTTTTCCATGACTGTACATTGCAAATTGATGGCCAAAAACTACAGACAGGAATTATAATATAAAAAAAAAATTACAATATTTATTTTCCAAAACTTGACTGGAAAATATTTATACTTACACACTGTTTCTGACGTCACACGGGGCTCTACCGTTGATGCTGTGACTTAAAGATCCTTATAATGCTGCCTTGTGTTACTTTATCATTGTAAGTAACACCTGTCACATATACGAAGTTCCTTGGTGGTGTTACTTAAGGCGAGAGGAAGGAGTAAGGTCACTGATGATGAATGTTTCTCTCTCTTACAAAATATAAAAGTTGTTTCATAATATATTTTCATTCGTGATAGGTCAGGTCAGGTCAGGTCAGGTCAGGTCAGGTTAGGTCAGGTTAGGTTAGGTTAGGTTAGGTTAAGTTTGATTAAATAGAAGGGGTTACCGTCTGGGTGGTTAGGTTAGATTAGGTTTGATTTGGTTAGATCAGGTTAAGTACGGTAAGGTTAGATTAGGTTAATGTCTGGGTGGTTAGGTTAGATTAGGTTTGATTTGGTTAGATCAGGTTAAGTACGGTAAGGTTAGATTAGGTTAATGTCAGGGTGGTTAATCTTGAGGTGAAATCAACTTGGGAGGGTAAGTGTAAGGGTGATTCTGTATATAAAGTATAAGTTTATTCCCCCACCTGACACCGATGACTGACACTGATGACTGACATTGATGACTGACACTGATGACTGACATTGATGACTGACACTGATGACTGACATTGATGACTGACACTGATGACTGACAGTTAACGTATAATTATTACCTAGGAGACACATTCAAGGTTAATACCCCACTAATTATCTCCAAACTATAATTCTTAATGTTACAGTATAATTCTTAATCTGAAATCGAGTTACATTGGATAAAGTTATTGAGATACTAATCATTAACTCCACGAGGACCCCCTGTTATAATTGGTTAACGCCAGACGACTTTATCCAGCACAGAGGAGAACCCGGTCCACTAGGGGTTAATAGTCTATCTCCACTAACTATATTAAGTACACTTGGTTTATTAATATAGCTCAGCCAGGTGTCATAGAGCAGTCGTGATGGCTCGCTCCCTTAGGCCAAGTGCGGGGCTGCATTGTTAACCACGCTCATTTTCAACAGTTTTTTAGGTTGAAATTGTGACGGAAAAATGTACACTTTTTATCCGTTTAAAAAAGAATGACCTACAATAACACCGGGGATAATGGTGCCGGAGTTAACCTAACCTAACCTAACCTAACCTCACCTCTGAACACACACACACACGGGGGGGGGCGGCGGCACAACATAGTACCTCTCTCACGTCAAGACACAGGAGACTTCATTTCCTCTGTTACGTCTACTGCCACACTGTTCACACCATGTGTTCTCTGCCACACTGTTCACACCATGTGTTCTCTGCCACACTGTTCACACCATGTGTTCTCTGCCACACTGCTCAAATTAGGTTAGGGTAGGTTGTGCTGCGTTATATTAGGGTTGTTTAAATAAAGAAAGGTTGACTTATGTTAGATTTGCTTGAGTTAAGCAAAAGTTTGTCAGGTTAGGTTAAGTGAGATTGCATTCGGTTAGGTAAATTCAGGTTAAGTTGTGTTCAGTTGGGTAAGGCTGGATTAGATTAGGTTGGGTTAAGTTAGAGTCAGTGTTCATAATAGTTATGAGGTCAACATGTATATTTTCAGCCTTCCGGCTGCCGTGCTCTTTCAATAAACCGTTAATAATTGTTAGTATTATTACATGTGGCGGGGTCAACATGTGGCGGGGTCAACATGTGGCGGGGTCAACATGTGGTGGGGTCCCTTGTTGTGAGTGAGATGGACTGAGCTGTAAACACTATTATTATTCATCAGAAAATTGAAATAGGTGAAGAGTGTTGGCAGTGTTGATGGCTGGAGGACACCCTGTTGGTTCTCATTATGTGCTGTAGGCCAGTGGTGAGGTGTACACACTCAAGTGGAGGTTTCCGTGCATCACCTGAGCCTCTCACTACAGCCACAATGTAACCCTTTGCTACGCTTTTGGCTTCAAAAAGGTTGAATTCCCCCAGTGGCCACGACCCCTCGGTGACTGCTGGTGATGACTTCATTAAGGATACCAGTGAGCTTCTCGTTATCATGGTGCGTTGACCTGTGTACCTGGTGATGTACCTGACAGGTGGACCTGTTGTTTAATGACTGGACCGTAATGACTGGACTGCAATGACTGGACCGCAATGACTGGACCGTAATGACTGGACCGTAATGACTGGACCGTAATGACTGGACCGCAATGACTGGACCATAATGATATAATTAAGTGAGAATGCGTAGTCGTCCTCCCTCTGCTGACGTCATCACCGGCACAACAATATATTTCACTCACACAAGACCCAGCCGTCAAGCTACGGGTCACCACACACACAAACCCAACCGTCAACTTCACGGGTCACCAGCACATGATCCAGCCGTCAACTTCCGGGTCACCAACACAAGACCCAGCCGTCAAGCCACGGGTCTACAAGACCAGCCGTCAAGCTACGGGTCACCAGAACCCAGCCGTCCAAGCTTCACGGGTCACCAGCACACAAGACCAGCCGTCAAGCTTCACGGGTCACCAACACACAAGACCAGCCGTCAACTACGGGTCACCAACACAGAACCAGCCGTCAAGCTTCACGGGTCACCAACACAAGACCCAGCCGTCAAGCTTACGGATCACCAACACAAGAACCCAGCCGTCAAGTTTCACGGGTCACCAACACAAGACCCAGCCGCCAATACGGGTACCAGCACACAAGACCAGCCGTCAAGCTTCACGGGTCACTAACACAAGACCAGCCATCAAACTTCACGGGTCACCAGCACAAGACCCAGCCGTCAAGCTTCACGGGTCACCAACACAAGACCAGCCATCAAACTTCACGGGTCACAACACACAAGACCGTCAACTTCACAGTCACCCAACAGCCGTCAAGCTTCATGGATCACCAACGCAAGACCCAGCCGTCAAGCTTCACGGGTTACCAGCACAAGACTCAACATCAAGCTTCGGGTCACCCAGAACCAAGCCATCAAAGCTTCACGGGTCACCAACACAAGACCCAGCCATCAAGCTGGTCAACACACAAGACAGCCATCAAGCACGGGTCTTAACACAAGACCCAGCCATCAAGCTTCACGGTCACCAACACAAGACCAGCCGTCAAGCTTCACGGGTACCAGCACAGACCCAGCCATCAAGCTTCAAGGTCACCAGCACAAGACCCAGCCATCAAAGCACGGGTCACCCTTAGAAGGATTTGGGTATAATGGACCTGTAATACTCCTAAGTGTTCCTCTGTGTCTGTGTGAGTGTGCATGTGTGTGTGTCTGTGTGAGTGTGCATGTGTGTGTGTGCATGTGTGTGTGTCGTGGTGGAGAAGAACTCAACACAGGTAAAGCAGATATACACTCAGTGACGTGTGATGGACCACCACCGCCATCATCACCACCACCACCACCACACATATCACAACCTGGTGTTATTAGATTACATTCGATGTTAATATCAAGTGTTGTTGTTGAGTAACTCGTAGTGGTGCAGTAGTGGAGCCACACACACACACACACACACACACACACACACACACACACACACACACACACACAATTAGTGAAGTAACAGGTAATTCTCCCGTTCTTATTACTGTTGTTATCCACCTGTGTGTTGATTTTACTACACCTGCGTTTGTAGGCACCAGTGCATCTCCCCCCATCACCCTGTATTTTAGTGACCAGATGTGTAGTGGTGATAGTGGTAGTGGTGATAGTGGTGGTATGATAGTGGTGATAGTGGTGGTATGATAGTGGTGATAGTGGTAGTGGTGATAGTGGTGATAGTCTGTACTGTATATGTGTGTGTGTGTGTGTCTCTCTGTATGTAAACATTTGTGTAACTTAACCGTAAGTAATTTACATAAAACACTTTAACTCGTGACGCTGTTGTGGTAATTACGCAGAGAAAAAACTAATTATGAAATACCTGTCTTCCTTCCCCTCTCATCCCCCCTTTCCTCCCTCTCCCTACCCCCTCCCCCTTCCCCCCCTCTCCTTCCCCCAAAAAACTGTCGGGAATAATTATACTAAAAGACTTATTCTTTACCAAATGAAAAATATTACTGATATGTGTACAGGTTGTTAGTATGGTGAGTTGCCTGTTAATGTTTATAATGGTAAAGTTGGTGTTTAACCCCTTGAGTACGATGACTTAACCCCTTGAGTACGATGACTTCCCGTAGTACGATGACTTAACCCCTAGGTACGATGAATCAACCTTAGTACGATGACGTAACCCTTCAGTTATCATGACATCGTACTCATTGGGTTAGAATCATCGTATAAGATTAGAATCATCATTACCTAAGGAGGGTTTAGTCATCGTACCAAGGGGTTAAGTCATCGTACTCAAGGGTTAAGTCATCATACTCAAGGGTTAAGTCATCGTACTCAAGGGTTAAGTCATCATACTCGGGGTTAAGTCATCGTACTCAAGGGGTTAAGTCATCGTACTCAAGGGGTTAGTCATCGTACTCAAGGGGTTAACAGCAAGACTTTAGTTATCTCCCCATTACAAAGAACTTTACACACACACACACACACACACACACTCACTATTTTTTCCTGTTAAATAAAGATGTGAGAACGTCCCTAACTCACTACAAGATGTCAACATAAAGAAAGCTAACCTAACCTAACCTAACCTAACCTAACCTAACCTAACCTAACCTAACCTAACCTAAACTAACCTAACCTAACCTAACCTAACCTTTAAAATCATCTTGGAATAATGTCAAATATTTACGAGGAAAAAATATTCAACACGGAACTTTAGGAATCTTCGCCTGGGTTCCTGGTATAGCCTCGTGATGGTGCTGAGTTTATCCGCTCGTGGGTTCATTATCACAGTAAGTGAGGCCAAGTACGTGAGCTTTACCGACCTCGTACTTATATCCCTCTAACATGGAGAATTTGGCACATTTTGTCAATAAACTATCATGTAAACCTTCCAGAGTGTTGACGCGCTGTTCCTAACACACACAGACACACACACACACACACCTTACACACACACTTACACACACACACACACACACACACACACACACACACCTCACCTGTGGTGTTCCCCAGGGGACCAAGATGGGACCACTGTGCTTCCTCATCCAGATCAACGACGCTCTATCGGACACTCCTCACAGGTGGAAGTACGTGGATGACTTCACTGTGGGGGTTTCAGTGGACAACACCGCACCAGACTACTCATTGCTACAAGGCACCCTGGACAGGCTACAGGCATGAACTACGGAGAACAAGGTCACCATCAACCACACCAAAACCGTAGTCATGCACATCAATACCGCCACCACTCCAGTGCAAGCCCCAGCAGTCACAGTGGGTGCCCATCCTCTCCAGCTGGTGCAGTCTGCCAAACTCCTGGGTGTAACCATAGACAACAAACTTGACTGGAAGGCCCATGTATATAACACAGTCAAGGCAGCCTCATATCGTCTCTACATGCTACGACGACTTAGGTCACTTGGGACACCCACGCCAGAGCTGAGGACCATCTACAACGCCTTTATTCTCCCCAAACTAACTTATGCGTCACCAGCCTGGTCGTCTTCTCTCAACTCCACCCAACAACGTCAGCAAGAGAAGGTACAGAAAAGGGCCTGCAGAATCATGCTCGGCGCAGAATACTCCAGCTACACCAACGCTCTCTCCACCCTGGAAATGCCATCCCTCAGTGACCTCCACCACCAAGCACTGGAAAGGTTTGGCAGTGGACTACTGCACCACCCTCGTCATCGCCACCTCCTCCCACCTGCAGCCCCCTACCCAACTCGCGCAGTCCGCCACTACAACAACAAAATTCAGCCCATAAGAGCCCGCACCGATAGATATTAGAACAGCACCATCCCATCTATTGTTGAAATAATAAACAACTCCTGATTTATGTACTGTACAGCCCTGTAAATGTATTCAATGCATATTATATCATTATGTCTAAATCAAATGTAAGTCTATATATTTTCAGCCACCGGCTGCAACTCTATTAATAAACCTTTTATTATTATTATTATTATTATTATTATTATTATTATTATTATTATTATTATTACACTTACACACACACACACACACTTACACACATACTTACACACACACACACACACACACACACACACACACACACACACACACACACACACACACACACACACACACACACACACACACACACACACACACACACACACACACACACACACGAGACAGCACTGAAGTCTTTATTAAGTTACCCAAATCAAACTTTCTGCATAAAAATAGTCTGCCAGATTGTTCAACAGCCAAACAATAACAAACTACCTGACTGTTAACGTATTCAACTCGACCTTCACTGACGACCATTCAACCATTTTCTTAAAGAATATTTTTTTTTACATTTCTTCTGAACGAGTCATGCTGGAGGGGGAGTTGACCCGTTAATATAATGTTACCTCCACTGGGTGTAGTGTGTAGTGACTGGGTGTAGTGTGTAGTGACTGGGTGTAGTGACATGCCTTTATATTCACAGGTTGGGGCTGAGCCACGATGGTGATCCTGTAGCGGCCAATGACTGTGAGGACGAGGGATATCAAGGCTCAGTAATGGCTCCCCTTGTTGCTGCCACCTTCAGTAGGTTCCACTGGTCTAAGTGTTCCAAGACGGAGTACCACACTAAGGCACAGTAAGTAACAAACTAAGGCACAGTAAGTAACAAACTAAGGCACAGTAAGTAACACATACACACACACACACGCAACTTAATTATACAGATTAGGTTAGGTTAGTGAAGCATTCTTTCTCAGGTTGCTGGGCGTCTCGGTAAACATGTAGTTGAACAGAGTCGCCTCTTGGGATCACGGCCGCCTTTCCCATTACAGGAAGGAACAGCTCCACCTCAAGGAAATCAGGAGAGGAAGTTAAACCTAAAAATCGGGACGTGAAAGATACTACACCTAAAAATCGGGACGTGAAAGATACTACACCTAAAAATCGGGACGTAAAAGATACTACACCTAAAATCGGGACGTGAAAGATACTACACCTAAAAATCGGGACGTGAAAGATACTACACCCAAAAATCGGGACGTAAAAGATACTACACCTAAAAATCTGGACGTGAAAGATACTACACCTAAAATCTTTGGATGCGTTTCACTTCCTAACATAACCCTATATATTGCTGGCTGCAGATTATGGAACCCAAAACTAGCGAAAAGGACTAAAAAGCCCCCCAAAAAAAAAAAAAAAGATGAAAAAGACCTAAAATGAAAAAAAATGAAAAATTAGAAAAACATTAAATGCTGGAAAAGACCTAAAAGGGAAGAAAAGACCTAAATTTGCTGGAAAAAGACCTAAAATGCTGGAAAAAGACCTAAAAGGGAAGAAAAGACCTAAAAATGCTGGAAGAAGACCTAAAATGGTAAGATGGTAACGCCGAGACATGTTGGGGGGAAGGGGGGGGGGCAGTGTGACGTCAAAATTAACATCACTGTGGTTGGGGGGGGGATCGGGAGGAGGGGGAGAGGGGAGGGGGTATAAGGTAGGTGAGAAGAAGCAAACAATTTAACCTAAGTGAAGAAGATGTAAACAATTTAACCTAAGAGAGAAGCAAACAATTTAAAATGCCAAGGGACAAAGGAAATGCAGGAGGAAAGATTCAAAATATAGAATGAGACTGAAAATGTATGAAGAAAGTGGAGACGTTCATTGAATTTGCTGAGAATAGAGTAGACTCAGAACACAAGGGTAGTGAAAACTCCCTCTGACCGCTGTTAAGGTGTTCCACATTTATGAACGCTGTTGAGGTGTTCCACATTTATGAACGCTGTTGAGGTGTTCCAAATTTATGAACGCTGTTGAGGTGTTCCAAATTTATGAACGCTGTTGAGGTGTTCCAAATTTATGAACGCTGTTGAGGTGTTCCACATTTATGAAAGCAGCTCATCACCAAGTATTCTCGACTTTCCTCGTAAATTTATCTAATATAATGAACCATTTTATTCATTGAGACTAGAATGTAACATTCTTATAATTAGTTTCTCTATTGTAACTTTATTTATCCATTTTCACCCTTGATCACAACATCCAATATTTCGTTCACCAGTGACAGTCATATACTCAACGTGTTTGCACCAGTCACACCATATTGCACCAGTCACACCATATTGCACCAGTCATTTTTTTAAGTAATGTCAAGTGTTTTTTTGTATTTTACGTTATAATTTCCATCAGCTTATTTTAATCATCGTGTGTTAGGTACCATATGTGTTTGCTGAAGTGTGAAGCTTTATGTGCCAGACTTGAGCTTCAATGACTTACGAGAGAGTGTTATTATTATTATTATTATTATTATTATTATTATTATTATTATTATTATTATTCCATATATCCAGTAATAAAGAAGTCATATTTGTTTGTTAGCTGTGTTTAGTGTGGCCATGACTTGTTTATTGTGGCCATGACTTGTTTAGTGTGGCCATGACTCGTAGTGGTGACATTTTCACTCGCTGCACTACACGGTTGTGGTATATACTGTGTTGTGACGTGTTGTGATAGCTGCCATATGGTTTTAACATCCAATACTGTCAAGGTTATGGGAAAATGTTTGTTTATTTTTTAATTCTCTCTCTCTCTCTCTCTCTCTCTCTCTCTCACTAGAGGCAGGTTTATTCTGTAACACTTAATTCTTTAGTTTTAAATTATGACACGCTTATTAACACTGTATACAAGAAAATATTTAAATTTGTAGATGAAAAAAGGAACTTGTTAGATAAGCTCGACTGTATTTAAACTAAAATTTATGTAAAGTAACGCTACACAATCTTCCTTTATTGTGAGCAGCTTAATGTGAAGCTTCAACCATCCCTTATTGTGAGCAGCTTAATGTGAAGCTTCAACCATCCTTTATTGTGAGCAACTTAATGTGAAGCTTCAACCATCCTTTATTGTGAGCAGCTTAATGTGAAGCTTCAACCATCCTTTATTGTGAGCAGCTTAATGTGAGGCTTCAACCATCCTTTATTGTGAGCAGCTTAATGTGAAGCTTCAACCATCCTTTATTGTGGGGCAGCTTAATGTGAGGCTTCAACCATCCTTTATTGTGGGGCAGCTTAATGTGAAGCTTCAACCATCCTTTATTGTGAGCAACTTAATGTGAAGCTTCAACCATCCTTTACTGTGAGCAGCTTAATGTGAGGCTTCAACCATCCTTTATTGTGGGGCAGCTTAATGTGAAGCTTCAACCATCCTTTATTGTGGGGCAGCTTAATGTGAAGCTTCAACCATCCTTTATTGTGGAGCAGCTTAATGTGAAGCTTCAACCATCCTTTATTGTGAGCAGCTTAATGTGAAGCTTCAACCATCCTTTACTGTGAGCAGCTTAATGTGAGGCTTCAACCATCCTTTATTGTGAGCAGCTTAATGTGAGGCTTCAACCATCCTTTATTGTGGAGCAGCTTAATGTGAAGCTTCAACCATCCTTTATTGTGAGCAGCTTAATGTGAAGCTTCAACCATCCTTTAAGTATGATAACATTAATTAACTAAACCTTTTAACAAATACAATTAACCAAATCGATTATAATTAAGAAATAATTTGCTGTATTTTAAATGGATCAGAGGTTATTAGTATTATTTTATCCAACAGTGACTGGAGTTGTCTACTGAATAAACCTCAATGGAAGAACGCGACCACTGTACTATCAACTATTAAGTACCAATACTCTCTTGACGACCAGTGCAGGATGGAGTTTGGTGAAGGGTAAGAGGAATTGTAAGGTTGTGATCACTCTTGTTAATTCCTCCTTACGTGATGTCTCTCTCTACTTTTATTAAGTCCTCCCTTGGTCAGATCATAACAAACTTACAACATATAATTATCAGCTGGAGTTTTACATTCGACCAGTTATGAGAGTCAATCTCTTAAGGTAATCGTGTTCATCTTTCAAGACCATGAAAATCCTTTACCTACTTTAGTTAATAAGTAAAGTAACCGCTACGATGTTTTTATTAACTGTTTAACACTGGAACCCAAGATGCAGGTTTATTTTTTTTAGTGTAATTAACTAAAACATTAATATAAGAGCAGCACTGACTGTATCATATATGAAGGATGCGGTGGCAGAGTAGTTACACCACTCGCTTACCGTCTTTAAGGGACCCGAGTTCCACCCAGCTGTAACCAGGTACAGTCAACTAGTAAAGTCTGTTCGTCCCTTCCTCCTCAACCACGAACCCCGAGATTCAGACTTGTGAACCCAAAGTATTAGACTGATATATTATTCTGTCCATAAATGCTTCAGGTTCACAAGTCTGAGTCTAGGGGTTCTTGGTTTAGGAGGAAGGGACGAACAGACTTTAGTAGTTGACTGTACATAACTAGAATTAGGGATACTGTGTCATAGTGAGTCATGGGCCACGCTGCCTCCTTGTGTACTGTACTGAAGACTTTGCCCACACTGTTCCTAACTTATGTTTAGTTTTAAAATTAGGATGAACCAATTTTTTTTAGATTTTATTATCTGAAAAATTATCCTCACATCTCCACCTCCCTGGTAGTTGGTCCTCTACTCCTCCCCTCACCTCACCTTATTACACATATCTTCAATAAGGATTTCAGTAAGGATTATTTCTATTTATCATTATTTTGCAAAGTAAAATTCTGTCTTTTCAACCAATATCTCAGATTATCTGTGAATGTCGGTCCACATGTGTTGGTGTTTTAGTCACACACCTGTTAATGTTACAGGTATGGTCTGTGCAGCAGCTTTGGTGCGACGGACCCGTGTACTCACCTGTGGTGCAGCAACTCCTCTAGCCCACACCACTGTAAGACCAAGAAGGGGCCGCCCCTCGAGGGAACCACCTGTGGTGAACAGAAGGTGAGGTGCACCAAGCTGTCCCTGGTCATGCCATCACTGGAGTAAGCTTATCCAACATACAGTACTGTACAAAAAGCTGTCCCTGGTCATGCCATCACTGGAGTAAGCTTGTCCAACATACAGTACTGTACACAAAGCTGTCCCTGGTCATGTCATCACTGGAGTAAGCTTGTACAACATGCAGTACACTAAGCTGTCCCTGGTCATGCCATCACTGGAGTAAGTTTGTACAACATACAGTACACAAAGCTGTCCCTGGTCATGCCATCACTGGAGTAAGCTTGTACAACATACAGTACACAAAGCTGTCCCTGGTCATGTCATCACTGGAGTAAGCTTGTACAACATACAGTACACTGCTGTCCCTGGTCATGTCATCACTGAGTAAGCTTATCCAACATACAGTACTGTACAAAAAGCTGTCCCTGGTCATGCCATCACTGGAGTAAGCTTATCCAACATACAGTACACAAAGCTGTCCCTGGTCATGTCATCACTGGAGTAAGCTTATCCAACATACAGTACTGTACAAAAAGCTGTCCCTGGTCATGCCATCACTGGAGTAAGCTTGTCCAACAAACAGTACTGTACACAAAGCTGTCCCTGGTCATGTCATCACTGGAGTAAGCTTGTACAACATACAGTACACTAAGCTGTCCCTGGTCATGCCATCACTTGAGTAAGCTTGTACAACATACAGTACACTAAGCTGTCCCTGGTCATGTCATCACTGGAGTAAGCTTGTACAACATACAGTACACTAAGCTATCCCTGATCATGTCATCACTGGAGTAAGCTTGTACAACATACAGTACACAAAGCTGTCCCTGGTCATGCCATCACTGGAGTAAGCTTGTACAACATACAGTACACAAAGCTGTCCCTGGTCATGTCATCACTGGAGTAAGCTTGTACAACATACAGTACACTAAGCTGTCCCTGGTCATGTCATCACTGGAGTAAGCTTGTACAACATACAGTACACTAAGCTATCCCTGGTCATGTCATCACTGGAGTAAGCTTGTACAACATACAATACACTAAGCTGTCCATGGTCATGTCATCACTGGAGTAAGCTTGTCCAACATACAGTACACTAAGCTATCCCTGGTCATGTCATCACTGGAGTAAGCTTGTACAACATACAGTACACTAAGCTGTCCCTGGTCATGTCATCACTGGAGTAAGCTTGTATAACATACAGTACACTAAGCTGTCCCTGGTCATGTCATCACTAGAGTAAGCTTGTACAACATACAGTACACTAAGCTGTCCCTGGTCATGTCATCACTGGAGTAAGCTTGTACAACATACAGTACACTAAGCTGCCCCTGGTGTAAGCTTGTGCAGTATAAAACTTGCCAAGTTATTCGTATGATTTTACTGTTATTTCGAGTTATTATAAACAGACAATATAATTGAGTTCACATTAAAATTTAATTCATTAACAAATACATTAATCTGTAGTACAATATTGATGTACATATATATTGATGTATTAATATATATTGTGTATTAAAATGTTATATTCCCATAATGACCCCAAACTACACAAACCATGCAAGGTTATTATTTCCTCCCTCACAACACTAAGGCACCAGTTATAAATGTTGTTATAACTTACTCGGGGTCTCGTCTGGTCAGCATCAATCCTGGACAGAAATATTTCCCTAATAACCGGAGCTCTGGCCAGATATTGTTCTCTTCAATTTTTAAACTGAATCTGAAGCAATCACATTTTAGTTGCATGATTTAAATATTTATTTATTCACACCATAAATCTTTATTGTCTCCCACAAAACACACACACACACACACACACACACACACACACACACACACACATACACACACACACACACACACACACACACACACATACGCCAATCAGAATCCACTCAGGTTTAATCACAATATGTAAAAAATAACTTGTAAAATCTTCATTATTTTTATTCAGGCCGCTGCTGTCCATTGACACACATAAATGTAGGTCGATTTTATACAGGTGTAGAGAGCAATGCCGAGTCTTTGCTGAATGTTCATCTAAAACTTGAGGTACTACATTATTATCTATATGTACTTCACAAACTTGCCTTTTAATACAGTAATACGATGACTGAGTGGACACAGTACTGAACTCCTATCTTATGTGTCACTGGTTTACCCCCACAGTCCACCCAGCTGTGATTGGGTACCTAATGTAACGCTTGAGGAATTGAAGGTAATTGAGTGCAATGTCGGCCATATTGACTACTCATGTGCCGGAAAAATTAAGACTTAGCTGACACTGTGTTTTAGGGACTCGCTTTGATATATGAGCCGATACATAATCAGAGTGGGCCCCTTGTTCACTTACTCTACTTATACTGTCACTACTAATATAAATGGTGTTCCTTCCAGTGGTGTCGACACGGATTTTGTGTGGCGGTTAGTCAGGAGACGGAGGACACTGACGGTGAGTCTCCCGTCAGACACAACCCGCAGGATGGTGGCTGGAGCACGTGGAGCCAGTGGGGGCCGTGCTCCAGGACGTGTGGCACCGGAGTGGCCTTCAGAACCCGAGCCTGCGACCATCCTCCGTTAGTACTGAGATTTGCCTGCCAGTGTCTGTGAATCCCTGACCAAATGTGGCTGTGGGCGGATGCAGTAATGACAGAGGTGTCTTTGGTGTATTATGCTCTTAACTGATGATTCTGATGTAGTGAATGATCTTGATGTGTATGAACAGGTCTTTTGTATGTTTGTATTAATATGGGAATGTGTATGAATGTTTACAGCACTGTTTTATGTTTGTGTACCTGTTTAAAGGACATTCCTCATATAAAGGCTAAACAACACCACCTGGGTTATGTGCGTAAGATCTGAACAAGGACAGGACAGTACATACGGTCTTCAAGATTTACGCACTGACAAACAATTATTCTGAGATTTCCTCTGTACAGTATTTGGATAGATAGTTACATAGTTGCTTTCTAACTGACCTCTGTGGCAGTGTGTATAATGGGATACCTGCCGAAGTTGTAGTTCATAATGAAGTGTTTAGTGGTGACAGCAGCTTGGCAGTTCTGCAGGTCAGCCATCATAGGAAAGCTCCTTGGAAGACTGCCGCATTACAGAAAACAGAATATGAAGAGTGTGTGTGTGTGTGTGTGTGTGTGTGTGTGTGTGTGTGTGTGTGTGTGTGTGTGTGTGTGTGTGTGTGTGTGTGTGTGTGTGTGTGTGTGTGTGTGTGTGTGTGTGTGTGTGTGTGTGTGTGTGTGTGTGTGTGTGTGTGTGTGTGTGTGTGTGTGTGTGTGTGTGTGTGTGTGTGTGTGTGTGTGTGTGTGTGTGTGTGTGTGTGTGTGTGTGTGTGTGTGTGTGTGTGTGTGTGTGTGTGTGTGTGTGTGTGTGTGTGTGTGTGTGTGTGTGTGTGTGTGTGTGTGTGTGTGTGTGTGTGTGTGTGTGTGTGTGTGTGTGTGTGTGTGTGTGTGTGTGTGTGTGTGTGTGTGTGTGTGTGTGTGTGTGTGTGTGTGTGTGTGTGTGTGTGTGTGTGTGTGTGTGTGTGTGTGTGTGTGTGTGTGTGTGTGTGTGTGTGTGTGTGTGTGTGTGTGTGTGTGTGTGTGTGTGTGTGTGTGTGTGTGTGTGTGTGTGTGTGTGTGTGTGTGTGTGTGTGTGTGTGTGTGTGTGTGTGTGTGTGTGTGTGTGTGTGTGTGTGTGTGTGTGTGTGTGTGTGTGTGTGTGTGTGTGTGTGTGTGTGTGTGTGTGTGTGTGTGTGTGTGTGTGTGTGTGTGTGTGTGTGTGTGTGTGTGTGTGTGTGTGTGTGTGTGTGTGTGTGTGTGTGTGTGTGTGTGTGTGTGTGTGTGTGTGTGTGTGTGTGTGTGTGTGTGTGTGTGTGTGTGTGTGTGTGTGTGTGTGTGTGTGTGTGTGTGTGTGTGTGTGTGTGTGTGTGTGTGTGTGTGTGTGTGTGTGTGTGTGTGTGTGTGTGTGTGTGTGTGTGTGTGTGTGTGTGTGTGTGTGTGTGTGTGTGTGTGTGTGTGTGTGTGTGTGTGTGTGTGTGTGTGTTCCCTCCACAGTTAAGCGTTTCGATGTGATTTTCAGTAAAAAAATAGAACTTATGTAATAAAACTCAAGGATTTTATTAACTTATAAATATTATTCAAAATAAAGTCTTGTAATACTAACTCATTACATTGACAAGGAAGGAGGATTCTTCAGAGCAGCATAACTACCATGTACAGCTGTCACGTAAAGATTAGCTGGTCTTTTATTTTCAGTAAAGGGAGTTTTTAGTAGTGCATGATGATTGATGCTGTGTATTGTCCACCAAAGGTTCCTGATGGTCTGATGTGTAAACATTGAATTATTGGTTTTACTTTTAAATGAACTTCTTGGCAGCCCTTAGAAGACTATCTCCCCTAAACATGGTATTAAATTTATTATACTTTTTGCAGTCCAGCTTGGGGTGGTCGTCGGTGCCGGGGTAAAAGAGAAGAGTGGAAGGTGTGTGGTGTAGAGGAGTGTCCACTACCGCGCATAGATATCAGAGCTCAGCAGTGTTCCTTCATCACCCGTATTGTCAATCTGGACCTACGTAGATCTGCCCTCTCGTGGCTACCATACGAACCCAAGAGGAGTGAGTCTACAGTACATTGTTTTGATTGAAGTGAATTTATGCTTATCATTCACAAAACTTTTTTTTTTTTACGGGGAATAGCCCACCCGGGCACAGGTCATCGACCCACAACTGGGCCTGGGGGGCGAAAAAATAAGAGTAAAAAGAAAAGGTTATATTAACCTACACCACGAAGATGCTGGAAAACCAGCTTTTTGAAGTGAGACAGATTTTATGAGTATGGAAACACAGAAGAAGGCAGAGAATTCTACAGTTTGGCTGTGTGAGGAAAGAAGAATGTACTATAACAGGTCATTCTAGACCGACATCCACAGAGAAACTGTGGGCACCGCGGGCAAGACGAGTGTTACGAGCCCACGGCCTTGCTGGCGGTACACAGGATGTCAAATCCACCGAACAGTATCCACTAAAGTACCTGTAAAAGAGAGAGAGTGAAGCAACATTGCGATGAAGAGAAAGGGAAGAAAGATTATCAACTAAAAGAGGAGAGTTAATAAGACGAAATGCCTTTGATTCCACCCTATCTAACAGTTGGACAGAAGAAGAGCCACCCCAGATATGAGAGCAGTACTCCAAGTTAGGATAAATGAATCCCTTATATATTTGAAGCAATTGCTCAGGAGTGAAGTAGCGACGGCATCTGTACAGCATTCTCAACTTTTGGGAGGCAGCTTTAGCAATATTGTGGATGTGTGGCTTCCATGACATATATGAGGAAATGGTGAGGCCGAGCATATCCATTTTAGAATTTGGTAGAATGATTGCATCCTGAAATGTGATTGGTGGGAGATCATCTAATTTGGAAAGTGTTTATTGGTAAATACTGTATTTTATTATTATTGAATTTAACCAAGCTTCTTCCTCCCCATTCGGAGATGCTGCACAGATCTACATTGATAGATGAAATGATATCAGCTCTAGAAACAGATGTAGTTTGAGAATTAGGGGGAAGGGAAAAATGTGAAGAAGAGTGAAGAGTAGAATTATTAGCGTAAGAATGGATAGTATTAGTCGTAGTGTGAAGTAAATCATGGAGAGTAGGTGAATGAACAGAACCCTGTGGGACACTACTATTGGTAGAGAAAGAGCGAGAGAATCGATCCCTCGACAACAACAACCATGGGTTGGTTCTCAAGGAAGCTAGAAATTAGAGAACAAAGTGGGGAAGAGAAACCATAAAAGCAAAGACTTGTGCCATACCCTGTCAAATGCTTTGGAGATGTCGAGGGCCACGACGAAAGTTTCCCCATAATCCCAAAGAGAGGATGACCAAAGATGGGTGCAATAGCAGAGCAGATCACCAGTAGATCTCGCCTGGCGAAAGCCATACTGGTGATCCGACAAAAGAGAATGGCATTCAAGGTGACAGAGAAAATGGGAGTTCAAGATAGTTTCGAAAATCTTAGAGAGGGATGAAGTTAGGGCAATTGGGTGATAGTTAGAGGGATTAGAATGGTCACCCTTCTTCGGGATGGGCTGAACCAAGACATGCTTCTAAGAAGAAGGAAAAGTTTGGGTTTTGAGGCAAAGGCGAAAGAGACGAGCAAGCACAGGGGCCAGAGCTTCAGCACATCCTCAGAACACGAGGGGGTATTCCGTCCGGTCCATGCGCCTTACTCACATCCAACCTGGATAACACACCGGCAACCCTGCGAGTGGAGATTATAGGAAAGTGCATAGGTTCAGTAGAAGGAGCAGGGGTAGGAGGGGTAGAGTGGGAATCGTCTAAGGTGGAATTAGAGGAGAAAAAGGTGCCAAAGAGATTGGCTTTGTCAGGGGGAGAGTTGGCCATAGAGTTATCAGGTCGGAAGAGAGGAGGAAAAGAAGGAGTGCAGAAGTTGTTACAGATGTTTTTAGTTAAGGACCAGAAGGATTTACTAGAGGAAGAATTAGTCAGGACAGCGGTCTTTCTATTTATAAAATTCCGCTTGGCCCCGAAGAATAACCTTACAACTATTCCTAGAAGTAATGAAAGAAGAGTGGGTAATAGGAGGAGATAGTTTCATAGCTTGATATGCCCTATCTCTCACCCTGCAAGCAAGAGAGCAGGAGCGATCAAACCATGATTATAAAGTGAAAGTTTTGGTAGAAGATGGGATAAATGCACTCATACCGCCCTGTATAACCCCAGCACATACCGAGGCGTCCCAACGAGTGGAGAAGCAACATTCATCCCAGGGACAGTCGGTGAAGAATTCTCGCAAGGATTGCCAGCTTGCCCTCCGATAGTGCCATAGTTGACGTTTAGAGGGGGTGGGGGAGGTGGTCGTGCCCAGTTTGATTTAATAGAAATAAGATTGTGATCAAAATACACTAAGGAGCCAGAAATTGAGTATGAATAGTGTGAGGGGTAAGAGGTAAAACAAAGATCAAGAATGTTAGTAAGTTGATCATGTTGATCAGGATCACGTGTAGGGTGTTCGATTATTTGTTGCCGATCATTAAGTAAGGAAAAACAGAGTGCTTCAGCTCCACCTGGGTCATCCCTTGCAGAGCCAAGCCACTCTCTGTGATGTACATTGAAATCCCGTAGGTTGAGGATCTCGGTGTTGGGGTGTGTGGATAGCAACGACTCATGGCAAGAAGTGAGATAGTCAAAGAGTTCCAAATAGTTGGTAGAGTTGGTAGAGATATTTTGAGCCAGATGACATCATAAAGGGGAGATTCAAGATCCGTGAGTCGAGCTATAGGTGTATGAGTGTTGCAGTAGGCCCATACACCTCCCTTAGAACGGAAGGAGGTATAAAGGTTGTTGTTGGAGACTTGAAAAGGTTTGGGTAAAGCTTCTTTGGTCAGTTGAAGATCAAATAGTAGTAGTAAGAGGTCAAGGGAAGAGGTTAATAGATGGTGCTCCACAGAAGGAAAATTGGATCTTAGGCCGCGAATGTTGGACAGAGTGTGAAAAAAGCCGATCCTCCAGCAACCGCGGTGGCGTCAATTGAAGCCCCAATACAAGTAGTTTGGTGATGATCAGGTCGGCCCTGGGGTCCATAACCTTCCCGACCAGTGGGACCCATCCGAGAAGGTCCCGCTTTAATATTACTGTCAACTGATATCATTGGAGAATAAAAAAATTGAAAGAATAGAACAGATCAAGAGTGAGGAAAGTTGTATATGTTGTGTTGTAGAGAGTAAGAGAAACAATTGAGACCCTGCAATTGTGTGGAAATGAGGCAGAAAGTCGGATCATCAACCTGGGACTTGGTCACATATGGCAGCAGAGTCTACCATTAGACAACACATGCTTCCAATATCTTCCCAGTACCTCCCTGTTTGGTAGCTGCCTACTACCTATTAAACTTATTATACTGTATATCTCATATATTTTGTGTTATAGGAAGTTAAGTCATCTGTAGGAAAGATTTAGTTGTGCTAATAATGTAATTCAGACATTGGAAGCGTTGATTAATCTCTTTAATACTGAATGCATCCTCTTCATAATCCAAGTTAAGTTTCAAAGTTATCCTTCAAATGTCCAGTCATCCCAAACAGGTCATTGGTTACTATTTATCATTGTCACCTGAAAACATAAATATTCTGTACTTTGATGAAGACAAATTTATAAGATGTTTCATTACCTTCAAGGGAGTCACCATAACATACACTCAGGCGGTCTCTCTATATTTTGGTGTGTGACCTTAAAATGTTCTCAGCTGTGACTGTCGTGGCTTTCATGGTTAATTGATAAAAAATATTCAGGGTCACTTAAAATTCCATGCACAATAAGCATCCAAATTCATGTTTATTTATTTTACATAACTGTATTTTCTTACATTTACATTTATTTTGCAGGAAAAAAGAAGTGTCGCATCTCTTGTTACAGCCACGCCACTAATGAAGTTTACATTGGCCGAGAGTATGTGGTGGACGGTACGCCGTGTTCCTATGACCAGCCTAATGATATTTGTGTTCAGGTAAATATAAGGTTTTAGGAAAAATAAATATGATGCAAAAATATACAAGATTTTAACCAGATGAAGATACTGTAAATAGATGTCTACAGTCACTCCAGAAAGCATCTTTACGGAGGGGGTCGGTCAATGCCATACTGAACACTGTGACTCCTGTTGTCTCGGGAGGGTCGTCAGAATCCTTCGTCTGTTGTAATTTTTTTGAGCGACTGTATGTGTGAGAGAGAGAGAGAGACTAGCAAAGATAGAAAATAGCAAGGAGAGAGAAATAGAGTTAAATTGAATAATAGACCAAAATAGGGGAAAATTGAGAGAAAATGAGTAAAATTTGGGAGAGAGAGAGAGAGAGAGAGAGAGAGAGAGAGAGAGTTACATAATATTTTTATTCATTCCTCATCTATGAATAATAATGGATGAGTTAACTCTTCCTACCAGGGCAAGTGTGTGGCGATGGGGTGCGACAAGGTGGTAGCTTCCATGGCACAGGAGGACGAGTGTGGTGTGTGCGGTGGTGATGGTGCCACGTGTATCAACAACCAGTTTGACTACCACGAGGTGCCCCCTACAGGTCAGTACTCGCAGCTATGTGTTAAAGTGGCTTTTCACAGGTCAATGTTCAGTGACCGTGGTCATTATCGAGTTGTATATCTACAGTTCTGACGATAACACTTGAGAGGAAAGGGGGAAAATACACTACTGTAATACAGTTTCTGCATGCTTAGAGAGTCAGTTCTAGATACAGTGTTGTCTATGATCTGGAGTGTAACCTGAGGTAAGGAATTCTTCACAATGGGCTTCTCTTAAAGGTCAATTAAGAAGAGGAGAGATGAAAAGGTCAACATGATAAACACGTACAAGGAAGCCTTAACTGCTTCTGTGAATGTGTTCTCAAGATTTTCTAGTAACAGGACGTTCTCTGATACTTCTCAACGACACCTACTGCTTGTTATCATAGAACATTACCTTCACAAGTGGGTGGAAAGAAGAAACCGTGAGCAGGGCGACCTGTCTGGGCCACAGATAAGGCATCAGGCACGTGTTTATTACGCTGCAGTTGCACAGAAGAAACGTGTTGAGTCTCCACCACTGTTCAATGCTTCTGTTGGTTGGTTGGTTGGCTGCCTTTAAGAAGCGTTATGAAGTCAAGTTTGCCCACTACCATGGGGAGAGTGCATTGGCTGATGTCGTAGCAGCAGAAAAATATCTATCTGTCTTTCAAGCTCTTGTGAAAGAGGATGGTTATTGCAGAGACCAGATCTTCAATTGTGACGAAACTGGCATTTTCTGGAGGAGCTCACCTAAGACCACCTTCATTGCCAAGGATGAAAAACAGGCAAGGGGTGTAAAGACTTCAAAGGACAGGATTACAGTTTTATTCACAGCTAATGCAAGTGGAGATTTCTTGATGAAACCCCTGGTTGTTAACCGTGCTGCCCTTTCCCAGAGCCTACCGGCATGCCAATATATCGCAGCTCAATGTTTATTGGACGTCTAATAGGAAAGCTTGGGTTTCAATGTCTTTATGCACCAATTGGTTTGACAAGCACTTTGTTCCTGGCGCCCAACAGTACTGCCGGAGGAAGAACATTGACTACAAAGTGATCCTGGTGATGGATAATGCTCCTGGACACTCTAAGTTTGTAATTGGACATCACCCTAATGTACAAGTTATCTTCCTTCCTCCTAACACCACATCGCTCTGCAGCCACTTGACCACGAATTCATCAGTAATGTTAAACTGTTCTACTCTCAGTCATTCTATAAAGACTTTCGTCAGCAGACAGACTCATTAGTTAAGTTACAACAAATCGAGGCAGAACTCTCTGACAGTTACCAGGCTTTACCAGCTAACCACGAGGAGGTGGAGATGGTAGATGACCCGACTCCTAGCACCTCACACGCACCACCCCACACCCATGAAGTGACCAATCACCCAAGCTGCTAACGAGCCGATCAGTGGTGAAGAGGATAAAAGTAAAAGTAAAGTAAAAGTTATCAGTTTGTGAATTTTGTAAGAAATATAATATTAAAAATACAGTGGACAGAATTGTTGAGGCATGGAATAAGATTAATGTTGCAACAGTGCTACACGCATGGAAGCCTTTGTTCACTAACTCCGAGATAAGTTGGGTAGAACAGACCGAGGCAAGCGTGAAGAGGCAGTCCGTGGCAGCAACACTTATGGACATGGTGGAGGCAGCACGCTCAGTCCCAGCACCGGGATTTTCAGATGTTCAGGTTGAAGATTTGCAAGAAATCGTTTGTCAACATCAGCAGCAACCGACAATTGAAGAAATGTTGGAGGAAGACGAAGAACAGCAACCAACACAAGAGGATGACGTTAAGCCTGGTGAACCTACAACACACCTGCTGACAGAGTTTCTCACAACTATCGCACGTCTCGGTGAACAGCTAGAAGAATACGATACCAGGCCTCATCCTCGGAACCTTATGTGCCCTGCCCTTAAGAAGGTTATGGAGGTTATGCTCGTCAGGAGGCCCTTATTACTCGGTACTGTGCAAGGCCCAGTCTGTTAATGCCTTGACAAACATCATTTTAGGAGATGATGATGATGGCACCACCGATGATGATAGTGTAGTGTTGGGTGACTTACTGGTGGAAGAACTGCCTCAAGACTTTGAGGGATTTGATGCTGAGGGTTCAATTGACCGCGTAAATGGAGACTATACTGTGTCACTATCACTAACTTGGGCTGGCTGTTGCTGGTGAAGAAGTCGGTGATGTTACCCTGATGGCTAGCGTTGATGTGGTCGTGATACATCTTGATATACGGCTCCATAGTTTGGTCTAGATGGTTATTGGAGACTTCATATCGGTGATTGAGAGGGTCTTTGGAAAGGATGAGCTTGAGTTTCTCGGCAAACTCGATGGCATCCTTTATATCACCATGTGTTAGCTTCTGTTCTGGTGCTGCGGCACCACCTGCCTCCTCACAGACGTCATCGTCTTCCAACATATCGTCGGCAATCACCTCAGGATCCCTGATTACCTCCATAATGTCGTCGTTGGTGGTCTCGGAGAAGCCTACAGCTGTAACACTGTGCAGCTTCTCTTGCAAGGTCCACTGCCACTGCAACAGACTGAGCCTCTCCAGCCACAGGTTGACTCTGCCTCCCACTTGGGATACCCTGCAACACATGCCGCCACGCGTGACGAATCGTTGCCACAGACAGCTGCCCCCATGCCTCCACCAAGAAATCAACAGCTTTCTTGACGTTAAACATTTTCCAAAACTGTTTAACTCGCACTTCATGCTCCGCCAACTCTTCTTCTGGATCCTCGTCCTTGCTATCTGTGTCACTCAGAAGGTTCCGCAACTCATCCTTGGTGTTGGTGTAGTCGTTCAGGAGCTTAAACTTCTTTGCGCAGAATGAAGCCTTAACGTTGCATATCAACTCCTGGTCCATGGGCTGGATTAACGACGTAGTGTTGGGAGGAAGGAAGACCACTTTAACACTGGGGTGACGATCCAGCAGTAGGGGCGAGTGTCCTAAAGCGTTGTCAAGGAGCAACAAAATATTAAATGGAACATTATGTTGCTCGCAGAATTTCTTAACGTCGGGAACGAAACAGTCGTCAAACCAGGAGAGAGACAGACCAGTGAACATCCACGCCTTACGTGCGGTTAGTCAGTGGACATTTAGCTTGGTCATTTCCATGTTCTTGTAGGCGTGCGGCTTGTGGGCTGTGTGGGTCACCGACAACTTGAGCTTACAGGTGCCGGAGGCATTGGTGGTAAACAGGATGGTGATGCACTACTTCTGCAACTTCCGGCCCCGACACTTGCTGGCAGACTTGACAACGAAGGTCTTGGAAGGGAATTTTTTCCAAAACAGACCGGATTCATCCATGTTGAACACCTGGTCGTCGGTGTACTGTCCTTCCTCCATAATGTCCCGTAAGAATGGAGGAAAATCCATGGCGGCAGCACGGTCAGCACTCGCTCCTTCACCAACAATGTTAATGTTGGTTATCTTGTTACGTTTCTTAAACCCTTGCAGCCACCTAGAGGAAGCAGTGAAAGGTTTGGGCTCTGCAATTCCCATCTTGCGCGCCACTGATTCGTAGAGTTCACGGGCGTAGTCCTGCATTGCCCGCAAGTCGACTCCATGTTATGTCTTGCCTGACGAATCAAGTAGCTCACCAGCAAGTTCTCAGTCTTGAGCAGCACCTTATTCTGACAATACTTCACCGTTGAAGCACCTGCAGACTTTGTGATGCTCATGTGTTCCTTTATCTTGGCGGCATCCTTCTTGATTGTACGAATCGTAGATTCATTAACTCCATGCTGGCGTGCGAGATCAACTTGTCGGGTTCCCTTTTCCAAGTCCTGGACGATTTTGCATTTTACTTCGTAACTTAGGGCGCGTCGTATCTTCTTGGGCTTGGGGCGGCTTGGTCCAGGTAATTCAAGGGTTTTCTGGGGTGGTGGGGGTCCAGCGGAAGCCGTTGTTGAACAGATTAGCGGGCACAAGAGAGAACAGTATACGCGGAGACTGTGAACAATGAGACTTGCCCGGTTAGGTCAGTGGCTTCTTCCTTCCCGTGGCTGGGCACGTCATATTACATTAGACCAATCACAGCTAGTGGCGGAGGGAGGTAAGGATGCGTGACCCAACCACAGTCTGATACGTCATATGACGTCAGCGATAACACAACAGTGACATACTGCGCACCCTCCCCGCGCCGCTTCCCGCGTATGGTCAAGAATGGACCGCGTGAATCATAATTGCCTCGGCGCGTCTGGACCTCTCGCCGCGTAAATGAGCAATGAACCGCGTAATTAAAAATTTTCATTCTGGTAATGTGCCGTGTAAATGACCAAATGCGTAAACTAAATCCTCATAAATCAAGACTATGCTGTATATATATATATATATATATATATATATATATATATATATATATATATATATATATATATATATATATATATATATATATATATATATATATATATATATATATATATATATATATATAAAGCATTAATTAAGGTATTCTTCACTATCTTGTCAACAGAGTACAGCCTGGTGGCCACCCTGCCTGCAGGAGCTCGCAACATCATGATCAAGGAAGAGGCTCCTACCATGAACTTCCTAGCTCTCACAGATAACTCTTCCTCCTTCTTCCTTAATGGTGGCAGAAGTCAAGAACCTTCTAAATCCTTTATTAGTAAGATACTGTGGAGTTCATTGTTGATTTAATGAATTTTGTGTAATTTTTTTGTTTTCCAACTTTAGTTGAATGAAAGCATAATATCAACAGTATTATATATTATTATTTTACGACCATTTTCTTCACATACTTGGGTTAGCTGTGATGACCTGGTGGCAGCTCTCTATGCTGCACATTTTCTTGCAACCTCTCTCATCATGTTCTTATTCCCAAGGTCATTTCTTACAGCCTTTCCCTATGTCATTCTTGGCCTACCCCAAGTTCTCCTCCCTTCCACATTAATACTTGTGCGTCTCTTGGCCCAGTTGGTCTTTTCCCTCCCCCTCACGTGCCTCAACTATCTCAGCCTACCTTTACACAAAACTTTCCCTTTGCTCTCAATACCCAGTTTCCCTCTTAGCTTTAAAGGGGTTTTCTTATCTTTCAATGTCACATTACGCATCCATCCCACCATTCTCATATCAGTTCGCTCAAGCCTATGTATGTCACCCTCTTCAGCTGCCCAGGTTGTCTTGCTACAACACAGGTCTCACACTAACTACAGGCATCTCTGTTTTAAGGCTGATCGAGTCCTAGTCGAGGTCTTCATTGTTAATAGAATTTACAACGTCTTTTTCACTCACTGCTCACCAACATCTTCCTTGTGTCTGCCCATTTCACCTCCCTATTGTGTACACCTTATAGCTAACATCTGCATTATTCAGAGTAACCCCAAATCCACCCTTTTCAGATTTCTTAACCTTTTTAAACTTTTCTTTGACCTGCATGCCTCCTTATCACCACCTATCTTCCAGGCCTTAAACAATCTTCTTTTCTACTGTATATCTCTGTCCCCTTGATCTTTCCACCACCGTGTTTACGCATATCTGACCTTCATATGAGCTTAGTTATTGTATCTTATAAGATTTGCTTAATAAAAAGGTGTGACAAATAGATAAATAAAAGAGAAATACTCTTTAAAAAACACACGATTGATGCACTTGACTAAGTTGTTGATGACTTGGTGCAGGTGAGGGAGCCAAGTTCCTGTACAGCAGCCGGGGGGAGAGGGAGGTGTTACAGGCAAGAGGACCTCTACTAAGGCCCGTCTCCATCATGGTTAGTAGTTGTTTAACCTTATTATTTTACTTGAGTATAGCTTTCCTTATTCTTTAAATAATCATTAATTATGTGAAAATAAGCATCATCCATACATAAACGTGTTGTATTTTGAATGATATTAATGATGTTATATTGTAAATTGTTCAAAGAGTTATCTGTCACACCCTGCTCAAATTTCTGTAGAGTTCAAATGCCATGTGATTCTTACTCTTCACTCTCCAAGAACTCATACATTGAACACATAATAATTTCTCCTGGTGGGCACATCTGTCACACTCAACTCACCATATACTACAACAAACTCTATATTCATCACCTCTAATGTTTTACTAATTTTAGAATTATATAGTAATGGCTCCCTCTTCTGTGTTTATTAATTCATTCTTCCATGATATATTGGATAGATTAATACTGTATATCTTCTTTTCCTTTCTATAATGTTTAAGTGATTGTTTCTTAATTGTCTTGTTCCTCAGATTCAAACTTCACTGCACAGTATATGCAAAAAAAAAAATCCTACAGAAGTTCTCATCGTATCATAACACCCGATTTTTTCTTCAGATTTATCTTTCAAAATTATTCTCCCATGAAATGTTTTTCTCATCTTCTTGGTTTTCTTAATATAATGCTACTCTTCTTAAACACCCATTAAATGTTATGCAGTACCTACATAAAGAGTTTTTCTGGTACAACCCAAACATGAGTAATGAATTCATGTTAAGATAATACAAAGTACTTAAACCATATTCTCTTCGGTGTGCCCATCTGAGATACAAGATGAACATATTCTTGGCCTCGTGACAGACTGGAAATAGTCGTGTGTAAAAGATCTCCTACAACTATGAACCTTTGCTGGGTGATGAGGACTCCTGACCAGACCTGTGAACCTTTGCTGGGTGATGAGGACTCCTGACCAGACCTGTGAACCTTTGCTGGGTGATGAGGACTCCTGACCAGACCTGTGAACCTTTGCTGGGTGATGAGGACTCCTGACCAGACCTGTGAACCTTTGCTGGGTGATGAGGACTCCTGACCAGACCTGTGAACCTTTGCTGGGTGATGAGGACTCCTGACCAGACCTGTGAACCTTTGCTGGGTGATGAGGACTCCTGACCAGACCTGTGATGAGGACTCCTGACCAGACCTTGCTGCTGGTGATGAGACTCTGACCAGACATGTGAACCTTGCTGGGTGATGGGGACTCGGCCAGACCTGTGAACCTTTGCTGGGTGATGAGGACTCCTGACCAGACCTGTGAACCTTTGCTGGGTGATGAGGACTCTGACCAGACCTGTGAACCTTTGCTGGGTGATGAGGACTCCTGACCAGACCAGAACCTTTGCTGGGTGATGAGGACCCTGACCAGACCTGTGAACCTTTGCTGGGTGATGAGGACCCTGACCAGACCTGTGAACCTTTGCTGGGTGATGAGGACTCCTGACCAGACCTGTGAACCTTTGCTGGGTGATGAGGACTCCTGACCAGACCTGTGAACCTTTGCTGGGTGATGAGGACTCCTGACCAGACCTGTGAACCTTTGCTGGGTGATGAGGACTCCTGACCAGACCTGTGAACCTTTGCTGGGTGATGAGGACTCCTGACCAGACCTGTGAACCTTTGCTGGGTGATAAGGACTCCTGACCAGATGCTTCACTGGTCGAATCATGACTTAACAGACTGAGAAGGCTATTGGCTGTATAATCATTGTGGTATAGTCTGTGGGGAGGCAGTGGTATAGTCTGTGGGGAGGCAGTGGTATAGTCTGTGGGGAGGCAGTGGTATAGTCTGTGGGGAGGCAGTGGTATAGTCTGTGGGGAGGCAGTGGTATAGTCTGTGGGGAGGCAGTGGTACAGTCTGTGGGGAGGTAGTTATAAGGGCCTGTGCCTCTTATAACATTCTTCTTTACTTTAATACTTACAGCCATTGGTAGCGTGACGAGAGGAGGCTCGTGGGTATATGTAATGATAGTATCAAGTAATAGGGAAGAAATAACGGTAGATACTGTAGGTAAATAATAGACACAATATACAAATACAATATTTATTTAAACATTAATATGGAGGTAGGAGAAAGAATATATGTACCAACAGACGAACTCCTGGTACTATGCCCTCTTGCTCAACATACTCACACCACTACTGGGTGGACATACTCAATAATACATAAACTCTTACAGTAACTTTGCACCATTATGACCAGGGGCAACTGCCACTACAACACTCAGTCGTCAGGAGTGATACTCAAGCAACCGCCATGGGGTCCCGCCACCATGGGGTACTTTCCAACGAACTCTGAAGATCCCAGTGGAATAACACAACCACACCGATAGCCCTACTGAGTTAGACACTCATCCACCAATGATGGGGGTTGGTAGTGGTGTGTGGCTTGGTGATCCGGGGTCACCTCACGGGCCGAGCGTTAGGGTCAGATGGGCCAGCTATGGGGGCTATAGGTAGTACTGAAGTGTCTGACGGTCGGGTCCCACGAAGATAACTGATCCTACTGGACCTCGGACATCTCTCCAGACATAGTGGATACGACATCCACGCTGCAGACACGGCCTAGGCTGCGTTAGGGACCTGTATGGGTGAAGGGGCGAGCACTTACTAACGGTTGAAATGCCCACGGCACCCTCACTCAAACTAGGTCAGGGACTCCACCTACTTCTATTTCGATGAATTACTTTACTGTATACGCTGACGTTGAAACTGAGACTACGAACTCAGTTTCATTCCCTACTATTATCTTCACTAACAATGCTCTGACTGAGCTATCAAAAGCAAAATTAAATTGATTACAAAGGGTTGGATGGCAACAGGTCCCAACCTACAGCGTCTTGCTACAAAATCCGCAGATTATATTCAAAGTTTCCTTCAGACATAGACGGCCTCTCGATGACGTCATCAAGGAAACAGAGAAAACGAGGGACGTTTCCACTGGGGGACTCAGAGGGTTTTGTGGACGTTTGAGCGTAATATGAATCCTTAAGGTTTTTAGGTTAGCCGTCACCACGATCATGACACAGTGGTATAGTCTGTGAGTGGTGATGGCACATCCTCCCCCCTAAACAAAGATATTCATGTGTAGAAGTGTAGTGTAGAGTAGTGTAGTGCAGTGCAGTGTAGAGTTGTGTAGAGTAGTGTAGAGTAGTGTAGACATGCCTAACACTCGCTATGGTGACCTTTACTCTGAATATTCATTTTATCAGATTCACGGCACAAGAGCACAGGAGTCTGTACGTGTGACCACCACCTTCCTTACCCAGCTTAAACAGGAACACTATCAGTGGGAGGTTGGTCCATTCACTGCCTGCTCCGTCACCTGTGGAGGGTAATTATATTTATTTTTTTATATAATTATACATATTAAGATACAAAAAAACTTAGATTAAATTAAAAATTATATGCCCAGTCATCAAGTATTGTAGGTTCTTATATGCTAAGTTTTCTTTCCACCTGGAATGTTGTTATCTACACAACACACACTACCTGTACACCACACAACACACACTACCTGTACACCACACAACACACACTACCTGTACACCACACAACACACACTACCTGTACACCACATAACACACACTACCTGTACACCACACAACACACACTACCTGTACACCACACAACACACACTACCTGTACACCACATAACACACACTACCTGTACACCACACAACACACACACTACCTGTACACCACACAACACACACTACCTGTACACCACACAACACACACTACCTGTACACCACACAACACACACTACCTGTACACCACACAACACACACTACCTGTACACCACATAACACACACTACCTGTACACCACACAACACACACTACCTGTACACCACACAACACACACTACCTGTACACCACACTAACACACACTACCTGTACACCACACAACACACACTACCTAGTACACCACACACAACCCACACACTACCTGTACACCACACAACACACACTACCTGTACACACCACATAACACACACTACCTGTACACCACACACACACACTACCTGTACACCACACACACACACTACCTGTACACCACACACAACACACACTACCTGTACACCCCATAACACACACACACACACACACTACACCACAACACACACACCAACACATACACTACACACACACACACACTACCTGTACACCACACAACACACACTACCTGTACACCACACAACACACACTACCTGTACACCACACAACACACACTACCTGTACACCACACACACACACTACCTGTACACCACACAACACACACTACCTGTACACCACACAACACACACTACCTGTACACCACACAACACACACTACCTGTACACCACACAACACACACTACCTGTACACCACACAACACACACTACCTGTACACCACACAACACACACTACCTGTACACCACACAACACACACTACCTGTACACCACACAACACACACTGGGTTTTTTTACCTCTTAACCTGGTTTTCTTATTGTATATAAATTTGTTGTGAATAATGACCTTGAGGCTCCAGTGTGTTAAGACAATAATTAAAACAAGTGGTAAATATTATTGTCAACCTGTAAGTGATCAACAGAGGTGAGCAGCATCAGACCTTGGTGTGTCGGGATCGTCGGACAGACAAACAGGTGTTCCATAGCAGCTGTCGACACCTGCCACGTCCTTCACTAAATACTACCACCTGTAACTCCTTTGGGTAAGTTACTGGCTGATGTGTTATTATTTTCTATAGTGATTGACGGTAAAGATTATTATACGTAAACACACATTTATTATTTTATCGGGATGTGTAAATAATAATGTTACTGAAAATCATTAAATATTATTGGTGAAAATGCAACAGAGTACAGTAGGTATATTGATCTTCTCCACCAGTGTTTGGCCCCGAGGGTTTTAATAGTCTAAGAGATGGATGACTTTAATCAGAATTTTAGGTGATTATTCTGTGTAGAAAGGCTGCTGAATAGAAAAAAACAGTCTCATTGACCCCAGGTATGACACAATAACCATTTCGGCCACTTTTTGGCCAAATATGGCCGCCGAAATCTGAATTTTTGTTGAACGGATGATCTGTTATTGTCATTTTGTAAAAATGAGGTCCTGAATCATTTGCACTATCATTTTATAGGTCAAGTCAAACCCAAAGGCATTTTACCACAATGCTAAGTCGAAATTAAAAACGGGAGTAGGTGTATCATACCAGGCCACTACGGCACCTCGGGTACCCTGAGAGGTTGGAGCGCCTGAACTTGCCTAGCTTATACTACAGACGGGCAAGGGGGGACCTAGTTGAGGTGTATAAGCATCTCAGGGGGCACTACTCAGTTGAGTGTCCTTACCTGGAGCTGGCGGACGCTCGCCCCACAAGGGGTCACAGCTCAAGATTGAAGAAGCCGCAAGTCCAGAAAACTGTGAGGGCAAACTTTTTCGGAGTGAGAGCTGTGAACTCTTGGAACAATCTACCAGAGAGTGTTGTGACGGCACCGAGTGTGAGCTGTTTCAAGACGAGACTTGACCAACACTGGAGCAGGTTCAGGTACATTCAGGAGCCGGTGCATGCCTAATACTTGCCAACAGTGTGTAACAGCAGGGCCGGATTCAGGAGTGGGTAAAGTGGGCAGCTGCCCAGGGGCCTCCACAATCTGGGGGCCTCCACATATTACAATATGTTCTAATTTCCTCAATATAACTGCATATGGCTTCAAAATTCTCCAAAAAATTTTTCAAATTTCAAAATTTTCCTTTGGGGCTTACAGCGTCCCCCAGAACTCCCAGATGTTTAGGCTCGCTTCACTCGCCACCCCACCCTCTTGGGTAGTTATAATGAGGGGGGCCTCCACAAAGAGGCTACCCATGGGCCTCGACAGGTCTAAATCCGGCACTGCGTAACAGAGACGTAATCGATCGCCCAAGCGGCTAATGAGCCGATCAGTGGTGAAGAGGATAAAAGTAATATTTATAACACTGTACAGTACCTGATATATTAATAACATGAGACAGTACCTTGAAAGAGGTGTTTTATATTCTTTTTTTTACGGAGATTAGCCCACCCGAGCACAGGTCACTGACCCACATCGGGGCCTGGGGGGCGAAAACGTAATAATAATAATAATAATAATAATAATTAGTTCAAAGTAATCAAAATTTATAAGAAATACAAAATAAAAAAAGAAATAATAATAAAAACAACAACAACAACAACAATAATAATAATAATAATAATGATAATAATAATAATAATAATAATAATAATAATAATAATAATAATAATAATAATAATAATAATAATAAAGAACCAAAAAGAGATAAAAAAAATTAATAAGATCAATAGTGAGAAACGATATATGTACAGACCCTGCAATTGTGTGTAAATGAGGCAGAAAGTCAGATCAGCAACCTGGGACTTGGTCACAATTTTCGTGATGCCATATGGCAGCAGAGTCTACCATGAGACAACACATTATGCTTCCAATATCTTCCCAGGCGGTAGTACCTCCATGCTTGGTAGTTGCCTACTACCTGCTATCTGTGAGGCTGTCATCCAATTTCTTACCAGACAACCAGTGGATCAAGCACTTGAAAGTCCAATCATTGTACAGTAGTTGCAGCTTCATTACAAACTGGTATCACTGCTTTCCATCAGAGTGAAGGAGCAACCAGGTGCTGTACACTGTACATAGTTCCAATATGTTTCTCAGTTTACCCCGTTCAACATCTAATTGTACAGTAACCGGCTCCTAACTAATTAGTAGTTTACAGTAAACATATTTATATGTTTACTTGTCATTGCTGGTTTTCAAGTATTATACAGAGGGTCGTCGTAGTCGTTGCTTCCTTTGGGTTATTTTATGAAGTCTTTATACTCATGAACAAAGTCTCCTTCCCTTTTTTTTTTGTCAGGTCAGATTTTTGGGTTGGTAGCATTGTTTAGTTACTGCATCTGTCTCTCGCAAGTTGTCTTTAAAGTAGTCCTTTGCCTCGACTCAATATTAATAAGGTTTAATTAATACATTAACCAGTTTACTTTGTATTAATGCAGTTTAATCTAGTAGATTATGTTGCTTTTAAATTGTTCTTACCTCTTCGTCCAGACTACAATGTACTCTATGGTTATTGATATATATTTTTCTAGGTGCAAGGCAAAGTGGGTGACAGGGCCTTGGGAACACTGCTCCACCACATGTGGGCCCCACGGTGTGCAGGAGCGTACTGTGTCGTGTGTGACTCTCCCTGAAGCAGATGGTACTAACCGGACTACTGGAATAGTGGATCCACTGAGGTGTAGCACAGACCCTATGCCTGAGGCCCAGCGGGAGTGCCTCAGGGACCCTTGTCCTGCACATTGGTCTCCTAGTGGGTGGGGAGAGGTGGGTAGGGACAACCTTGTGGATCATACCTCTATCACTGTCAATGAACAAATACAGAAATATTTGAATTGATATCGAATTTTATGGATATCAACACAGTATAAATGTGTCCACCTGAGAGTTGATAATTGAAAAAATATTGATACAGTCTAGAACAAATTAGGAATTCAAAAGGAGGAGAATCTTTTGCTGATATGCATCAAAGTTTTCTCATGCAATAAAACAACAACAAGACCTATGTACAGTCACCCAAAAAAGTCCTGTCACGAACCACGATTCAGACTCGTGAACCCGAAGCAGTAGACACTGATACATTATTCTGTCCATAAATGCTTCGGATTCAAGAGTCTGAATCTCGGGGTTCATGGTTCGCGACAGGACTTTTTTGGGTGACTGTACAATACTTCTAAAAGTTATGCTCTAGCAGTGGATTTCATTATGAGAATGTTGCAGGAACAAGTCCCCTTATAACTTGACAGCTTCCAAAGATACTGTATTCATACTGCTAACAATTGTCCAGTGTAGTAAGCTTTACATCACAAACAGCTCTGCGATAATTGAGCTGATGATATTTAGTAACACAAACCTTCTTTAATATTCTCTTCCCGGTAAGTGATGTCGTGGTAGAATAATGACATGGTTAATGTTGTGGTAGATAATGGTGTCTTGGTGGATAATGTTAGGTTAAGTTAGGGTCAGTGTACTAAGATTATACTATCGTGTAATGAACCTTCATCCAAAGTCTCTTCTTTATGTTAACAAAGCAGCTGCACATGGTCACTCACACAACAGCTGTACATAGTCATTCACACAGCAGCTGTACATAGTCATTCACACAGCAGCTGTACATGGTTATTCACACAACAGCTGTACATGGTCATTCACACAGCAGCTGTACATGGTCATTCACACAGCAGCTGTACATGGTTATTCACACAACAGCTGTACATGGTCATTCACACAGCAGCTGTACATGGTTATTCACACAACAGCTGTACATGGTCATTCACACAACAGCTGTACATGGTCATTCACACAACAGCTGTACATGGTTATTCACACAACAGCTGTACATGGTCATTCACACAGCAGCTGTACATGGTTATTCACACAACAGCTGCACATGGTCACTCACACAACAGCTGTACATGGTCACTCACACAACAGCTGTACATGGTCACTCACACAACAGCTGTACATGGTTATTCACACAACAGCTGTACATGGTCATTCACACAGCAGCTGCACATGGTCACTCACACAACAGCTGTACATGGTCATTCACACAGCAGCTGTACATGGTCACTCACACAACAGCTGTACATGGTTATTCACACAGCAGCTGTACATGGTTATTCACACAACAGCTGTACATGGTCATTCACACAACAGTTGTAGATATATATTCACAGAGGATCCACATCATTCTCCACAGTGTCTAGTGATAGTACAGAAGTATGGGTGTGTGGGAGTATGGATGACTATAGCACGTTTTTTCCCAGCTGAGAAAAGATGGCCCGCCCCCTCCTCAAGAGTTATAGCTGTTTGGCTGTTGCAAACCTGTCCGATTTTGTCACGAGTAATGATGTATTTCTAAATGAGTTTATTCATATTCGTTGGGATGACGGTTTCTGACGAGAAAAATATTTAGCTAAATTATATAAAGATACATACATTCATTATTTCAAACATAAGCACGTAGGAAGTTTATCAGGAGTATTATACATGAATTAACGGTTAAACTCTGGTAGCAAATTTACGCTTTCGGAGGATGCATTCAATATACAGGTACTCCTCGACTTACGACCTACTCGACCACCCGGACATACAACCGCAGCAGTCGTATAAAATATTTTTCAAATTACGTATTTTCGAGTCCCGACGTTAGTGATTGTGCTGTGTAATGATAAAATTTTTGTTTGTAAAAGTGAGAGTTCTCGTGGTGCTGAGAAGAAAAAGATACGCCTATTTTAGATTTCCTATGTATTATTTTCACCTTTTCGACTTAGGACCTGGTCGTCGGGACGGAACCCCGCCATAAGTCGAGGAGAGACTGTATAGGTACTTATTTTTACCCACAATAAAGCATACTAAGACAAATTATGTATCAGTAATACTATATTATATAAAAACAACATTATAAAAGATCAGAATCACATTGAAATATTACACGACCGTCAGGAGAGGCGGGAAAATCTGAAGTTGTTCTGGGTTAAGAATTAATTTGTTTGTTTGCTCGACCAAGTGTAGGTAAGACACTACAGTCTCCTCGCCCTCAGCTTCCTTATATTTTACCTCAACTATAATATCTTCACCATCTTCCTCTTTCTTCTTAATTAAATTTTTTTATTTTTTTTTGCTTTTCTTTCATTTTCTTAACTGTGATGCCTCAGAAGTTACATTTTCTTCATTGTAGATTGTTGTTACCTAACCTAACCATCTTGTTTATCTATCTACAGTGCTCCAGCAGCTGTGGTGAGGGTGTAGAGACACGCTTGTGGGAGTGTGTTGGTGGAGGAGGGAACGAAGTGACCTACAACTGCGGCCCTCAGCCACGTCAGGTCCGTGTGTGTATCAAGGCACCCTGCCCCCCCGCACCTTGTCTCCGAGACTCGTCAGCATTCTGCCAGTTGCCAGTGTTACACAGATACTGTCAAGTGCCAAAGTACCGGGAACTTTGTTGCCACACGTGCGCCAATATTGTGTATTGATAGATACTTTGACTAATAACGTTATATATGAGTTACCTATAATGGCAACACTGTAAAAAAGGCTCAGCCATATGGCATGTGTCCGACCAACATTCACATATTGACGTCATCATCCCTCTGTTAATGTTGGAGTCAGTACTACAGACATTTGTGTTGTTAAATGCTGGAAATACATTCTGTGTTGTGTGTCATGAGAGTGTGATAGTATTACCACCTGGGGACTGGCATCCCCTATGAAAATGTTCAGACAATAACCCTCAACTGTATGTGTCGCCCTCACTCTTCACTTCAATCTCGTCGCTGCTGACAGTATGGGCAGGAACCCAGAAAGAGATTTCGTGGACTAAACTACAGTATCTATAGAGGCTCTTAATCGTCAAGTGAGTCACTTACTGTGTTAGTTGACTCACTCCAGGAACTGTGTGGTAGTTAATAGAATACTGTAATGTAGTGTTCACCAATTTGTTACTTGTCTGGCCTGTGTGTCAGATGGATGGCCTGTGTGTCAGATGGATGACCTGTGTGTCAGATGGATGGCCTGTGTGTCAGATGGATGGCCTGTGTGTCAGATGGATGGCCTGTGTGTCAGATGGATGGCCTGTGTGTCAGATGGATGACCTGTGTGTCAGATGGATGGCCTGTGTGTCAGATGGATGGCCTGTGTGTCAGATGGATGACATGTGTGTCAGATGGATAACCTGCATGTCAGATGGATGAACTGTGTATCAGCTGGATGACCTGTGTGTCGGATGGATGACCCGTGTGTCAGATGGATGACCTGTGTGTCAGATGGATGACCTGTGTCAGATGGTTGGCCTATGTGTCAGATGGATGACCTGTGTTGATTAATTATTAGTGTGTAAGGCAATTGTTACATACTGCTGTCAAGTAGTCATCCAGTTTGTCAAGAACAACCACTGTGTCATGTACAACTAGTGTGTCAAGAACAACTAGTGTGTCAAGAACTACTAGTGTGTCAAGAACAACTAGTGTGTCAAGAACTACTAGTGTGTCAAGAACAACTAGTGTGTCAAGAACAACTAGTGTGTCAAGAACTACTAGTGTGTCAAGAACTACTAGTGTGTCAAGAACAACTAGTGTGTCAAGAACTACTAGTGTGTCAAGAACAACCACTGTGTCAAGAACTACTAGTGTGTCAAGAACTACTAGTGTGTCCAGAACAACTAGTGTGTCCAGAACTACTAGTGTGTCCAGAACTACTAGTGTGTCAAGAACTACTAGTGTGTCCAGAACAACTAGTGTGTCCAGAACTACTAGTGTGTCAAGAACTACTAGTGTGTCCAGAACAACTAGTGTGTCAAGAACAACTAGTGTGTCCAGAACTACTAGTGTGTCCAGAACAACTAGTGTGTCCAGAACTACTAGTGTGTCCAGAACAACTAGTGTGTCCAGAACTACTAGTGTGTCAAGAACTACTAGTGTGTCCAGAACAACTAGTGTGTCAAGAACTACTAGTGTGTCAAGAACTACTAGTGTGTCAAGAACTACTAGCGTAAAGAGGGTGGTGTGTGTGTGCGCGCGCGCTGTGTTATGTGATATGGCACAGTTGTCAGGAGGCTAGCATAGTGTCACGAGGTTATCAACTGTGTCAATAAGAGGTTGTGACACCAATGGTAGTTGAATATACGGCATGTAAAGGTTAACTATTCACTATTCTGTCCCCTTATTGGCAGGTGCCCGCCCCTAATTGACAGTTGCCCGCCCCTTATTGACAGTTGCCCGCCCCTTATTGACAGTTGCCGCCCCTTATTGACAGAATTACCCGCCCCTTATTGACAGGTGCCCGCCCTGGTGACAGTTACCCGCCCCTTAATGTGACGGTTGCCGCCCGCAATGACGGTGCCCGCCCCTTATTGACAGTTGCCCGCCCCACTTATTGACGATTGCCCGCCCTTATTGACAGTTGCCCGCCCGCAATGACAGTTGCCCGCCCCTTATTGACGGGTGCCCGCCCTTATTATTGACAGGTGCCCGCCCTTATTGACAGTGCCCGCCCTGGTGACAGTTGCCGCCCCTAATTGACAGTTGCCCGCCCTTATTGACAGTTGCCGCCCCTTATTGTGGGTGTGCCCGCCCTTATTGACAGGTCACGCCCCTTATTGACAGTTGCCCGCCCCTTATTGACGGTTACCCGCCCCTTATTGACGGGTGCCCGCCCCTTATTGACAGGTGCCGCCCTTATTGACAGTTGCCCCGCCCCTTATTGACAGGTGCCCGCCCCGCCAATGACAGGTGCCCGCCCTTGGTGACAGTTGCCCGCCCCTGGTGTTGACAGTTGCCCGCCCCACTTATTGACAGTTGCCCGCCCCCTTATTGACGGGTGCCCGCCCCTTATTGACAGGTGTCCGCCCCTTATTGACAGAGTGTCGCCCCTTATTGACAGTTGCCGCCCTTATTGACGGTTGCCCGCCCCTTATTGACAGGTGCCCGCCCTTATTGACAGGTGCCCGCCCCTTATTGACAGGTGCCCGCCCTTATTGACAGTTGCCCGCCTTATTGACGAACCGCCCTTATTGACGGGTGCCCGCCCTTATTGACAGGTGCCCGCCCTTATTGACAGGTGCCCGCCCCTTATTGACAGTTGCCCGCCCCTTATTGACAGTTTCCCGCCCCTTATTGACAGGTGCCCGCCCCTTATTGACAGGTGCCCGCCCCTCCCTTAAGAGATTCTCGTTCTGTCAGTGTGTTGGTCATTAAGAGTGTGTTGGTCATTAAGAGTGCATTGGTCATTAAGAGTGCGTTGGTCATTAAGAGTGCGTTGGTCAATATAAGTTATGATCAAATAACTTGGAACAGGATACGTGTTAACTGACCTGCTTAAAATATTTGTGCCAATTAATCAACCAAAGAAAGTGTTCGATGTATGTGTGTGTGTGTGTGTGTGTATGTGTGTGTGTGCATGTGTGTGCATGTGCGTGCGTGCGTGCGGTGCCATTATTACAGCTGTTAGTGTTGTGTGGTCAAACGAAATAAAAAAACATGATACTTCCTGGCGTTTAATGGTGACCTGTATAGTGATGATTGACCTGGTGACCTGTATAGTGATGATTGACCTGGTGACCTGTACAATATATTGATGATTGACCTGGTGACCTGTAGTATTGATGATTGACCTGGTGACCTATAGTATTATTTTACGAGATGACCTGGACAGTATTTATTTTCTTGGTGACCTGTAGTGTTGTGTTGGTGACCTCTACAGTATTGATTGATGTGATGACCTCTGTAGGACAGTTCACATGATGACCTGGAATATTAATTGTCTTGCCTTTTCAACTTTAAATAAATAGTTGTTTTTTTTTCAACAGATATGATACCAGACAAACATTAATGCATGAACCAAATAATGAAAGAACCTTACAATGTCATTCTCATTTTTGTTCAATGGTTACATCAAAGTTCTGACACCTATCTGAAATTGGGTCTCGTAGGATTGACGTACACAAGCAAGCTGGTAAGAATATGGGTGTCCCAGATTAGAGCCAGTGACATAAAGGACAGGAGGTGAATGTTGTACCCACTCGGCCACCGCACCTCGACTGTTTAGTTCAATGTGTTAGATGTCAAGGTACAGTCACCCACAGAAATCCTGTCTCCTCTTCAGCTGTTTCACGGACCTCAAGATTCAGACTCTTGAACCCGAAGCATTTATGGACAGATGAATACATCAGTGTTTACTGCTCTGGGTTCTCGAGTCTGAATCGTGGGGCGTGAGGAGGAGCGGGAGCGGTGACAGGACTTTTGACCGTGACTGCATAGTTGGGTCTATATACACCATCTATCCACACACTGCTTGGTAAGTGATCATCATTTCTTACTGTATTATTCTTAACCGTTAGTGAATATTTCCTAAATATCTACTGTCTTTCTCATAGAAATACTGTTAGAGAAAAAAAATACTTTGGTAGTATAATCGACTCTTGCCAAGACAAGGCAGAAGTATAAAATAAACTAATATCCTCAGTGTTTACGAGAGAGGATGCAGACAGCCTTCTTGCCTTTGAGGATAAACAGTTGGGTACCACACTGGGGTAAAAGGAATCCTCAGAACAATATAACAGAGGTAAATTATCTAAGCTCAAGTTTCATAATGGGTCTCGACCAAGATAGTGAACATGGTACTGTATTCCAGGGTGTTGAGAGGGTTATGTAACGATGTCTCCGAACCCCTTAATATCCTGTTCTACAAACCAAAATATCCCCAATAACTGGACATTAATACATATGAGCCCTATATTAATGGAAGACGGTCACCACTGTTACAAGCTGGTGAGTTTGACCAACACAGTGTGCAAAGTACTGTACTGTACTACTGTAGAGTGAAACAATGCCATCATGGATTTGTGCCTGGACAGTGGTGGTGGTAATATTGATAAACAAACTTGTGCACTGTAGTCTTCTTTAATAGTCACTAATTCACAACACTGTTAACGGGGTAATGTCTTCACAGCTGGACTTCTCACTTCTAATATATAGTCAGCACACTACCAGTGTACAATTCCTTAGTCTTTTCACTTAATATTGATCACAACAATTCCACAATACTTGCACAACAATTATCTTCAGTTGTCTTACTAAGCTTGTACTTCAAACTCTGAGCAAAAATGGTCCACTCAGTCAACTAGGCTGCCGCTTATTATATCTCTCGTCAGACGATTCCAGACCACCCTAGATCAACTCAGAGACGTCTAGGAGGTTCTAGAACGTTCCACTCTGATCGAGGCTTACAGTAAAAAGTAAATCATAACAAAATGATGCAATACATTCCAGAAAATTCTTACAGAGGTAATACATCAATATATACACGAACATCTCCCTAAACTTGCCAAAATAACTGCTGCTTGGGTCAAAATCAAAACATCAAGTTTACAAAAATTATAATACCAAATTATGCATCGGCATAACAACCTTAAGTTTATTAAGGAGTTTGACAGCGTATTTCACGAAGGCCTGAAAATTAGATGAGGATACTGGAGTCGGGGGAATGTCCTAATAAAGATTTGTGTCTTAAAAGCCATTAGACAAAGTTTGAACTCTAATATAGCTTAAATTAGAAGCCAATCAAGACTGGGATAGCGGGAGTCCTCAGTGAGAGAACTACAGAGAGGGGCCTACAACTTCAACTTTTACTTTTATCCTCTTCACCACTGATCGGCTCGCTAGCCGCCCGGGCGATCGGTCACGTCTCTGTCACGCACTGTTGGCAAGTACTGGGCATGCACCGGCTCCTGAATGTACCTGAACCCGCTCCAGTGTTGGTCAAGTCTGGTCTTGAAAGAGCTCACACTCGGTGCAGTCACAACACTTTCTGGTAGATTGTTCCAAGAGTTCACAACTCTCACTCAGAAAAAGCTCGCCCTCACAGTTTTCTGGACTTGCGGCTTCTTCAATCTTGACCTGTGACCCCTTGTGGGGCGAGCGTCCGCCAGCTCCAAGTAAGGACACTCGACTGAGTAGTGCCCCCTGAGATGCTTATGCACCTCAACTAGGTCCCCCCTTGCCCGTCTGTAGTATAAGCTAGGCAAGTTCAGGCGCTCCAATCTCTCAGGGTACCTGAGGTGCCAAAGTGCAGGCACCATTCTGGTGGCCCTCCTTTGAACATTTTCAACCAACTGACAGTCCCTAGCATATCTCGGGGACTAGACGGGGTGACTACTCCAGATGGGGAAGCACTTCACTCTTGAAGATCATTACGAGGGACGGACCGTCTAGATATCTGAACGACCTTCTTATAAGACCCAATAATTTATTTGCCTGATTTACCTACTTCTCGCAATGGCCCGAGAACGTCAGCTCATTGTCAACATACACGCCTAGGTCCTTCTCACATTCAGTCTCAAATAGTGCAGTTTCTTCATCCCTGTGGGACATATGATACGCCTTCTTACTGTTGGTATTCCCCAGGTGCATCCTCTTACACTTCGTGACATTGAATCTCAGCAGCCATTTATTTCACCATTCTTGGAGCCCACAGAGGTCCTTCTGCAGCTCTTCACAGTCCGCTTGGTTCTTGATTTCCCGAAATAACTTGGCGTCATCGGCAAACATTTGTATGGAGGAGTGTACAACGTCAGGCATATCATTTATGAAACAAACAAACAACAGCGGGCCCAATACACTACCCTGCGGTACCCCGCTTGTGACAGGTACTGATGATGATTTCGTGCCATTAATCACCACACACTGCTTGCGGTCATGTAGAAAGTCTTCTATCCACGCTAGGACATTTCCCCGAATTCCGTACCTTTCCAGTTTGATTTTCAGCCTTTCGTGGGGTACACTGTTGAAAACCTTGGCAAAATCTAGGTAAATTTTGTCGATATTACGACCCTGTTCCAGAATATGGGTCCAAATATCCAATACCTTGAGCAATTGTGTTAAGCAGGAGCGCCCCGGCATAAAACCGTGTTGGCAATCTTTTACAAGGTTGTTTCGTAGTAGATGTTCCATCGCTGCATCTCTGATAATACTCTCAAGTACTTTACATATTATGCTGGTCAGGCTCACCGGTCTATAGTTGTTCATGGGATGACGATCGCCCTTCTTGAAGATAGGATTCACATAAGCCACTTTCCATTCACTGTGTATCAGTCTTACAGAAGAACATATTTTGGGATTGGAACAACTGAGCATTGTTAATAAAGGACGCGCCATGAGATGTCAGCGTATAAGATTCAAATACTGCTTATAAATAAATCACTCTTATCAACTGACTGCTCTCACACACACAGCCACACATTCCCTCAAGGCCACCCGGTGCGACCCCCTACCAGCCACACCCAACCACTGGCCAGGCAAGTGTTAGTCGCTTATGTAATACAATATAGTCTTTCCCCTCATACAGGTGTGTTTTTTAAGTAGTTTTTTATGCTTATTTTATTAACACTTACACTTGCGGTTGAAATATACTCACTAGTCCTGTGGGGTACGGGATATTGGTTCACACTCAGGATGGGATGGCGAAATGAAACTCACAATGTGCTCTCTGTATACATGTTGTATTGGATGTACAGTGCAGCTTGGAAAATGTTGACCGTGACCTTGGCCTGTCCAATGCTGTAATTAAAAACATTCAAGTCAGAATCATGAACTCTGATCTAGAAGAAGTGAGAAATGCAGAGAGACCTGACAGTTGTAGCATTAGTAAATATGACAAATTTTGTGACAAGAGGTACCGGTATGGCCAGCATAAGGACAGAACCAGACAATGTGATGTAGTCGTGGCCAGAATTAGGCTAGGATACAGACACATCTGGCAAGTTAGTAACGCTGTACCCATACCGGAACACTCAGCATGTAAACTTTGTGATAAACCTTTAAAGCATACACTTGAACACTATATTATTGAATGTGACACTGTCAAAGACGTCAAGCCACCTGACTTATTGTATCTTGAACTATGTAATTACTTCATTGAATCAGGTGTGCTTGAGGACATTCTTGCTGTTTATCCCAAATTTGCTAGCCCACACTGATTAGTCTTCAATTAGAATATGACTCCAATGTATGTGATCCACTGACCTACAGTATATATACTGCTAATGGATATGATGTATTTCCTTCTTTGTGTACGAACCTCTGTCCTGCATGGCAGTGAACAGTGACATTACCCATATGAATCTGACCTCTATACATTTATAGCTGTTAATGAATATGATGTATTTCTTTGTGTATGAACCTCTGTCCTGCGTGGCAGCGAGAAGTGATACCACCCTCAGTGTCAAGACCTGACTGAATTACTCAGAATAGGCAAACTGTACTACAAGCTCTGCCAATAAATATGTTAAACTAAAAAATAAGTGCAGCTTGGTGCTGGGAAGGCAGCGTGGTTACAAGCGTTGAGTAGAGAGAGCTGGTTGGTAAGGGTGCTCAGAGGAGGACCAGCTTGTGGGTTGCCATGGTCGCCGGCGGGAGCGGAGGAGGAGGAGGAGGTGTTGCTTGTTGGTGGCTGTGGGTAGTACGAGGTAGGTCACCTCGAGGTGAGGTCTTATATAGCGGGGGTAGGCGTGGCTTAATAGTTGACCTCAGTCATGTAAGGCGGCGCTGGTTGCTGACCTAGACACGAGGGCAGGCTGGTGAAATCGTGGGTCGGCTAGTCAGCGACAAACAGCCTTTGTAGGGGAGGAATCCACTACAGTCCCATGTGGCAAAGTCCGTTTCATATTTAACACAATTATGACAAAGTCCATTGAACTTTCACTTACCATAGAACATTGAATTTAACATCGTGTCACTTTCGTTACTTTATCTTGTGGTCTTGTAGTTTTTCTGCAAATAAAGTTGAATAGTAATACTTTCCTTCCTTGTAGCCAAGTGTTTTGCTTATGCTAACTTGTAGGAAGCTATTTGGTTCAATCAGCCAGACCTGTTACAAGACTTCAGCTTACTGTCACACACGCTGCAGCACTAAACAACATAATGTACTAATCATTTGTGGCCGGTATATTGCTGACTCCTGGCACTACCACGAACGTCCCACTGTTCAGATTTTACAGATTGCCCCGGAGGGGGCTAGTTTATTGGGCACCCCCTTACATCCTGTGCAAGGTGAAGCGCAGAAGCGTTTACAGTGCCCAACTGGGAAGCATGCGGAGTTAATGCTTGCCTTTATGACTCATGCATTAAGGGCGTAAAGGCCTGAAGGGTCATGGGTTTTGTCAGCAAGTTACATAAAGTGACAGAATGATGAGCGCCTGGGGACAAGCCCCCCTCCCCCCAAGGCCTCTTTACCCTCCCATCTCCACCCCTCAAAAATATCCCTCCTCCTTGATCTAGATAAAGATGTAAATGTGGGTGGCGTTGCTGGCATGAATATGGTGGTAGAACAAGAAGCCCTTTGTACTCGGGAATGCAACTCACTCTTCAGCCTGTTGGTAAACCGTCAGACTTGTGTTCTGGTACATATTTTGTAAGATTCTTCTTGGTACAATAAATATAATTCTCTCCAAGCAAAAATAATTAAATACTTTTGTGAAGTTTATAGAACACTCGGAAGCAACATCACAGGAGGCAGGTCTTATAGATACAGCCGCGAACAGGAAAGCGTTCCCGATCTGTTCATAACTATCTTAAGCTGTTGGCGGGGGATATTAATTTTCATTTTTTATTTATTTTTTATTTATTTTTTTTTCGGGGGTAGTTTTGCTTTGACTCTGAGGCTCCGGATAGCTGAAGGGTAAACCACTAAGAGATCTTGAGACTACAATAATGAAGGAGAGTCTGGGAACCCCAGCATTACGTCACGAATTTTCTTGGTTTGTGCAGTAACGTGAGGCGCCCAAGAAAGACTCCTCTGTGTTATACTGCAAGAGACCTTCAGTTTAGTTGCGAGTTTTCATGTTTGTTAAATATTTTCATTGTGTTTAAAGCCCTTGTACATACTTCTCAGGGTTAGTAAGTAAAATATCTATACTAATACGCCAGCTGTGCGGTCCTTACGAAGTGTGGCCAGCCGTCGATAAGGAAATTCAAGATATACTTTACATAATCACAAGACAACGTGCATACGGTGATGGCAGACGAACGTGAGTATATAATGTATGAGTGCATCAAAACAAGCGGTCCAGTTCTTCACTGTTTTCTGCACTATGATGCGATGTGTGCTACTGCTGGTGCTGTGTGCTGGGCACCTTCACCCTGCTGCTACCCACGACGACCACCATCAGGAGATGAGCTCCTCTCTTATTGTGAATCAACTGGCCATAATGAAGATGATGGGGGATACATCCAACTCTTGTTCTGCAGGTAAGTTGTACCAAGATACTACTTACTGTGCCCTGACCCCCACCTCTCTCTCTCTCTCTCTCTCTACGTGTATCTTCCTCACTCAATGTCTCTCCAACACTGAACCTCTCTCTCTCTCCCTCACTCTGTTACTCCCTCCACCTCACCTCATTCACTCTTCCTCCCGTAACTGTTCCATCTTCCTTGTCACACTCCATCTCCCCTTAACCTCTCCAGCCCTCTCACTCCCTCCCTCACCTCCCAATCCTTCTACCACACATCCCAGTCAGTAATAAAACACATCAGCACGGGTTAGTGGTACAGTTTAAACACTCTACTTGTCATGACAGAAGCAGGTTGCGCTGTTATGAGTCTCTCTTAAAACACTCAAACAATTTGTGACTTTGTTAAACGTTTACAACTTAACTTTATTTGGGTTAAGTTAATGTGTAGTTGTATTGCTCAGTTATTTTGATGGTAGTTGTAGTTATGATCACTTTATGTCACCATTGTTGACTACAGTTGTATATATGAGTCATAAGTGTTGGTGTTACCATTGTTGGCTACAGTTGTATATATGAGTCATAAGTGTTGGTGTTACCATTGTTGACTACAGTTGTGTATATGAGTCATAAGTGTTGGTGTCACCATTGTTGACTACAGTTGTATATATGAGTCATAAGTGTTGGTGTTACCATTGTTGACTACAGTTGTATATATGAGTCATAAGTGTTGGTGTTACCATTGTTGACTACATTGTTGACTATTGTATATATGAGTCATAAGTGTTGGTGTTACCATTGTTGACTACAGTTGTATATATGAGTCATAAGTGTTGGTGTTACCATTGTTGACTACAGTTGTATATATGAGTCATAAGTGTTGGTGTTACCATTGTTGACTACAGTTGTATATATGAGTCATAAGTGTTGGTGTTACCATTGTTGACTACAGTTGTATATATGAGTCATAAGTGTTGGTGTTACCATTGTTGACTACAGTTGTATATATGAGTCATAAGTGTTGGTGTTACCATTGTTGACTACAGTTGTATATATGAGTCATAAGTGTTGGTGTCACCATTGTTGACTACAGTTGTATATATGAGTCATAAGTGTTGGTGTTACCATTGTTGACTACAGTTGTATATATGAGTCATAAGTGTTGGTGTTACCATTGTTGACTACAGTTGTATATATGAGTCATAAGTGTTGGTGTTACCATTGTTGACTACAGTTGTATATATGAGTCATAAGTGTTGGTGTTACCATTGTTGACTACAGTTGTATATATGAGTCATAAGTGTTGGTGTTACCATTGTTGACTACAGTTGTATATATGAGTCATAAGTGTTGGTGTTACCATTGTTGACTACAGTTGTATATATGAGTCATAAGTGTTGGTGTTACCATTGTTGACTACAGTTGTATATATGAGTCATAAGTGTTGGTGTTACCATTGTTGACTACAGTTGTATATATGAGTCATAAGTGTTGGTGTTACCATTGTTGACTACAGTTGTATATATGAGTCATAAGTGTTGGTGTTACCATTGTTGACTACAGTTGTATATATGAGTCATAAGTGTTGGTGTTACCATTGTTGACTACAGTTGTATATATGAGTCATAAGTGTTGGTGTTACCATTGTTGACTACAGTTGTATATATGAGTCATAAGTGTTGGTGTCACCATTGTTGACTACAGTTGTATATATGAGTCATAAGTGTTGGTGTTACCATTGTTGACTACAGTTGTATATATGAGTCATAAGTGTTGGTGTCACCATTGTTGACTACAGTTGTATATATGAGTCATAAGTGTTGGTGTCACCATTGTTGACTACAGTTGTATATATGAGTCATAAGTGTTGGTGTTACCATTGTTGACTACAGTTGTATATATGAGTCATAAGTGTTGGTGTTACCATTGTTGACTACAGTTGTATATATGAGTCATAAGTGTTGGTGTTACCATTGTTGACTACAGTTGTATATATGAGTCATAAGTGTTGGTGTTACCATTGTTGACTACAGTTGTATATATGAGTCATAAGTGTTGGTGTTCATTTTGTCTCAGTTGTATATATGAGTCATAAGTGTTGGTGTTACCATTGTTGACTACAGTTGTATATATGAGTCATAAGTGTTGGTGTTACCATTGTTGACTACAGTTGTATATATGAGTCATAAGTGTTGGTGTTACCATTGTTGACTACAGTTGTATATGAGTCATAAGTGTTGGTGTTACCATTGTTGACTACAGTTGTATATATGAGTCATAAGTGTTGGTGTTACCATTGTTGACTACAGTTGTATATATAAGTCATAAGTGTTGGTGTTACCATTGTTGACTCTGTTGTATATATGAGTCATAAGTGTTGGTGTTACCATTGTTGATACAGTTGTATATATGAGTCATAAGTGTTGGTGTTACCATTGTTGACTACAGTTGTATATATGAGTCATAAGTGTTGGTGTTACCTTGTTGACTACAGTTGATATATATGAGTCATAAGTGTTGGTGTTACCATTGTTGACTACAGTTGTATATATGAGTCATAAGTGTTGGTGTTCACCAATTGTTGACTACAGTTGTATATATGAGTCATAAGTGTTGGTGTTACCATTGTTGACTACAGTTGTATATATGAGTCATAAGTGTTGGTGTTACCATTGTTGACTGTTGTATATAGGTCATAAGTGTTGGTGTTACCATTGTTATTACAGTTGTATATATGAGTCATAAGTGTTGGTGTTACCATTGTTGACTACAGTTGTATATATAGTCATAAGTGTTGGTGTTACCATTGTTACTACAGTTGTATATATGAGTCATAAGTGTTGGTGTTACCATTGTTGACTACAGTTGTATATATGAGTCATAAGTGTTGGTGTCACCATTGTTGACTACAGTTGTATATATGAGTCATAAGTGTTGGTGTTACCATTGTTGACTACAGTTGTATATATGAGTCATAAGTGTTGGTGTCCATTGTTGACTACAGTTGTATATATGAGTCATAAGTGTTGGTGTTACCATTGTTGACTACAGTTGTATATATGAGTCATAAGTGTTTTATAAGTGTTGATAAACAAGACTGCCGTCACCACCACACAATGTCGTCTCTTTTTCCCTAAACTAATTCAACAAAATTTCCTCAAATTAATTGTTTCATTTTCTTGTATTTGTCTTTTTGTTAATATTTTCTTAATTATTATCAAACAATTATGTCATAATTACCTTCTGGTGTCTTGTGTCACAACTGTTATATAGTTATATACAATACAGTATATACATACACATATACATACAGTATACATACAGTATATACATACAGTATACACATACAGTAAACGGTATATAATACATATTGTTGTTTTTTGTTCTATCAATGTTTATTTTACAGTTCCTGAAGATATAATGGAGAAGCTTGAAGCTCAGCTGCAGACGGGCAAGGAAGACCTTCAGACAGCCACTACAGACATCCTGGGACAGATAACTGTTCTTAAGAATAACACTTGGGCTGGTAAGTACAGTATAGTGCCACTTACCTACCTGGAGTACTTCCTTTGGGTGGGGGGTGTGCCACTTACCTACCTGGAGTACTTCCTTGTGTGGTGGGGGTGTGCCACTTACCTACCTGGAGTACTTCCTTGTGTGGTGGAGGGTGTGCCACTTACCTACCTGGAATATTTCCTTGTGTGGTGTGGGGTGTGCCACTTACCTACCTGGAATACTTCCTTGTGTGGTGTGGGTGTGTGCCACTTACCTACCTGGAATATTTCCTTGTGTGGTGTGGGTGTGCCACTTACACAGGTACTTCCTTGTGTGGTGGGGGTGTGCCCACTTACCTACCTGGAGTACTTCCTTGTGTGGTGGAGAGGTGTGTCCTCTACCTACCTGGAGTACTTCCTTGTGTGGTGGGGGTGTGCCCTTACCTACCTGGAGTGCTTACCTTGTGTGGTCAGGGGTGTGCCACTTACCTACCTGGAGTACTTCCTTGTGTGGTGGGGGTGTGCCACTTACCTACCTGGAGTACTTCCTTGTGTGTTGGGGGTGTGCCACTTACGTACCTGGAGTACTTCTTGTGTGGTGGGGGTGTGCCACTTACCTACCTGAGTACTTCCTTGTGTGGTGGGGGTGCCACTTACCTACCTGGAGTACTTCCTTGTGTGGTGGGGGTGTGCCACTTACCTACCTGGAGTACTTCCTTGTGTGGTGGGGTGTGCCACCCACCTACCTGAGTACTTCCTTGTGTGGTGGGGGGTGTGCCACCTCACCAACCTGGAGGCACTTCCCAGGTGTTGGGGGTGTGCCACTACGCACCTGAGTGCCTGTGTGGTGGGGTGTGCCACTTACCTACCTGAGTACTCAGGTGGTGGGGGTGTGCCACCTACCTACCGGAGTACCTCAGGTGGTGGGGGGTGTGCCATCACTCCACCTGGAGTCTTCCCTGGTGGGGTGTGCCACCCTACCACCTGGAGTACTTCCTGTGTGGTGGGGGTGCCACTTACCCACCGGAGCACTTCCTGTGTGGTGGGGTGTGCCACCCCACCACCGGAGTACTCTCAGGTGGTGGGGGGTGTGCCACTCACTCCACCTGGAGTACTTCCTTGTGTGGTGGGGTGTGCCACTTACCCACCTGAGTACCTTGTGTGGTGGGGGGTGTGCCACTTACCTACCTGAGTATTTCAGGTGGTGGGGGGTGCCACTACCTACCTGGGTATTTCCTGTGTGGTGGGTGTGCCACTTACCTACCTGGAGTATCTGTGTGGTGGGTGTGTGCCACTTACCTACCTGAGTACTTCCTTGTGTGGTGGGGTGCCACTCACCTACCTGGAGTATTTCCTTAGGTGGTGGGGTGTGCCACCACCCCCGAGTACTCTCAGTGGTGGGGTGTGCCACACCTACCTGAGCACTTCCTGTGGTGGGGGTGTGCCACTCCCCTACCTGAGTATTTCCTTGTGTGGTGGGTGCCCCAGATATATCTTCACAGCTGCCCGATGTGTCTTCACACAGCTGCCTAGATGTGTCTCACACAGCCTCAGATGTGTCTTCACACAGCTGCCCCAGATGTGTCTTCACAGCTGCCCCAGATGTGTCTTCACACAGCTGCACCAGATGTGTCTTCACACAGCTGCCTCCGGATATGTCGACTTATTTGGCTCAATATTTTCACAAATCAATATTTTGTATTAATAAACAGAACATCAATATTTCTCACACTTTACAACATCCTGAAATTTATAAGAAAATGGAATATTAATATTTAATCAATTTGTTGCCGCAACTCAGTAAGACTGTCAACAACACTATTGTCTGGCATAGTGAGCACAGTACATAAGACTGGCTGGACCACGTCAGTCTCTTAACACTAGACCTGGAGAGACTTTACTGAGGAAGAATCAAACATAAAGGCTTCTTGTAAGTCGTCCACATCAGTAGTTTAAGTGAGATAAAGTTCATCTATATAAGACAAACAAGAATAACGCCCATAAGATGTTGACATAAATATGAGAGACATTTTCGTTCTTATATTATAAAACACTTTCCTTGTTCTCAGGTTTCGAAGATTTGAAGGAAGAGTTGAGGAGCGTACTGGCGTCTACCAAGATGAGGTGAACAACTACCAGACTCACGTAGAGTCCACCACCACCCAGATTAACGCTGTAGATACTGCCCAGAATAACAGTAAGTGTGTGTTAACTGTGGTCATCTAACTGTTAGACTGTGTCATGAAGAAGTCCAGAGTAAGTGTGTGTTAACTGTGGCTCATCTAACTGTTAGACTGTGTCATGAAGAAGCGTCCAGAGGTGTGTTAACTGTGGCTCATCTAACTGTTAGACTGTGTCATGAAGAAGCATCCAGAGTAAGTGTGTGTTAACTGTGGCTCATCTAACTGTTAGACTGTGTCATGAAGAAGCGTCCGGTGAGGTTGTGTTAACTTGGCTCATCTAACTGTTAGACTGTGTCATGAAGAAGCATCAGAGTAAGTGTGTGTTAACTGTGGCTCATCTAACTGTTAGACTGTGTCATGAAGAAGCATCCAGAGTAAGTGTGTTAACTGTGGCTCATCTAACTGTTAGACTGTGTCATGAAGAAGCATCCAGAGTAAGTGTGTGTTAACTGTGGCTCATCTAACTGTTAGACTGTGTCATGAAGAAGCGTCCAGAATACGTGTGTGTTAACTGTGGCTCATCTAACTGTTAGACTGTGTCATGAAGAAGCGTCCAGAGTAAGTGTGTGTTAACTGTGGCTCATCTAACTGTTAGACTGTGTCATGAAGAAGCGTCCAGAGTAAGTGTGTGTTAACTGTGGCTCATCTAACTGTTAGACTGTGTCATGAAGAAGCGTCCAGAGTAAGTGTGTGTTAACTGTGGCTCATCTAACTGTTAGACTGTGTCATGAAGAAGCGTCCAGAGTAAGTGTGTGTTAACTGTGGCTCATCTAACTGTTAGACTGTGTCATGAAGAAGCGTCCAGAGTAAGTGTGTGTTAACTGTGGCTCATCTAACTGTTAGACTGTGTCATGAAGAAGCGTCCAGAGTAAGTGTGTGTTAACTGTGGCTCATCTAACTGTTAGACTGTGTCATGAAGAAGCGTCCAGAGTAAGTGTGTGTTAACTGTGGCTCATCTAACTGTTAGACTGTGTCATGAAGAAGCGTCCAGAGTAAGTGTGTGTTAACTGTGGCTCATCTAACTGTTAGACTGTGTCATGAAGAAGCGTCCAGAGTAAGTGTGTGAATGTGGCTCATCTAACTGTTAGACCTATCGAAGAAGCGTCCAGAGTAAGTGTGTGTTAACTGTGGCTCATCTAACTGTTAGACTGTGTCATGAAGAAGCGTCCAGAGTAAGTGTGTGTTAACTGAGGCTCATCTAACTGTTAGACTGTGTCATGAAGAAGCGTCCAGAGTAAGTGTGTGTTAACTGTGGCTCATCTAACTGTTAGACTGTGTCATGAAGAAGCGTCCAGAGTAAGTGTGTGTTAACTGTGGCTCATCTAACTGTTAGACTGTGTCATGAAGAAGCGTCCAGAGTAAGTGTGTGTTAACTGAGGCTCATCTAACTGTTAGACTGTGTCATGAAGAAGCGTCCAGAGTAAGTGTGTGTTAACTGTGGCTCATCTAACTGTTAGACTGTGTCATGAAGAAGCGTCCAGAGTAAGTGTGTTGTTAACTGTGGCTCATCTAACTGTTAGACTGTATCATGAAGAAGCACCATGAGAACTGGTCACATTTCTTGTCGGGGAATTATTAGGTGACAAGATCAGTGGAGCCTTGTTAGTACTGTACTGTGTGGCAGACTACAACACCTGAATAACTTCTTTAACATTGTTATCTTTAAGTCACTAGTGTACAGTATAACCTTAACACTCAATAAACTGTATTATGTTTAACAGAGAGTTAGTCATCTAACATCTACCTAGTATTCAGTGTGTCACTTCTTAGGAGTACAGCAAAGTTTCTTCCAAGTCTTACACTTTCCAGTACTCGCATGTACTCAGGGATGTAATCCTGTACTGCATGATATTCAATAATTTCGTATTCTGTCAATTAAACTGTGCCGATGGTACAGAGATTTTTGGCGAGACAATGAAAAGTTTAGTGTTGGGTTTTGACATACACAATGTAAACAAACATATTGGTTCACATCTCTCGTGGAGTGTGACCATAACCCAGCATTATAGAAGTCATGACAAGCGTCAAGAGAAGGAGCAAAACACTCACTAGAGTTCTCCAGGAGCAAAGCCTCAACACGACACTGTAGGTTAGTTCAGTGTTAAGTTGACAGTTCGGATCACTACCTTGCACCTCTCGCGTAATGACGGAAGTCATATCACCACAATAATACATTATTCTATTGTTCTGAACACGAAGTACCCAATTACTCTATAATTCTTTCATCAAGTAACAAATGGATAATAATTTTCTCAGATCGTGATGCTTACATTTAAAGTCAAAGATTCACTCGGAGTATCAAACCTTCCAGTTGTTAAACTTGTTCTTCTCCGTGACCTGCATCAGCGCCGCCTCATACCTAATTACTTTAAGATAACACAAGAGTTTTACACAATGTATTTATAAGAACATAAGAACATAAGAAAGTGGGATACTGCAGGAGGCCGACTGGCCCATACAGGGCAGATCCTTTTCACACCCATCCCAGCACTTCCATGTGCCTATCCAACTTCGTCTTGAAGCTCCCTAGCGTCCCCGATCCTACTATAGCACTCGGTAGCCTATTCCACATATCCACAACTCTATTACCAAACCAGTGCTTGCCTATATCCTTTCTGAATCGGAGTTTATCTAATTTAAAGCCATTTGTTCTAGTTATTTCGTTATTACTGAGCTTCAGAACATCTTCCATTTTACCCTTGTTAATCCCACTTACCCACTTGTACACCTCTATCATATCTCCCCTAACTCTACGCCTCTTTAATGAATGTAAGCCTAAGCTTTTCAGTCTTTCTTCATATGGAAGGTTTCTAATATTATGGATCATTTTGTCATTCTTCTTTGTACTCTCTCCAAAGAATCTATGTCCATTCTATAATAAGGACACCAGAACTGAACCGCATAATCCATGTGTGGCCTCACTAATGCTAGGTAAAGTTTCAAGATTACGTCAGCAGTTCTGTTACTCACAGACCTAGATATGAACCCAAGAATCCTGTTTGCCTTGTTGCGAACGCTAATACATTGTTTTCTGGGTTTCAAGTCGTTGCTAACAAATACACCTAGATCTTTTTCACAAACTTGAGTTTTCTATTTCCGTGTTACCTAGTTTATACTTAACGTTTGTATTCGTCTTCCTATCTGTAGTACCTTGCATTTATCAGTATTAAAATTCATTTGCCAGTCTACTGACCACTCATGTAGATATCTAGATCTCTTTGAAGGTGTTCAAAGTCACTGTCTAATTTATCACTCTCCCCATTTTGGTATCATCTGATTTACTAATCCTACTAGTTATGCCTAAATCAAGATCATTAATGAATATAACAACAGCAGAGGGCCTAATACAGATCCCTGGGGAACTCCGCTTTTGACCGCACCCCAGTCTGACTTTATCCATTTATGCTGACTCTTTGTTTCCTACCAGTTAACCATGACCTAATCCATTTTAATACTGATCCACCTATTCCATGTGCTTCTACCTTCCTTATCAATCTCTCATGAGGGACTCTATCGAATGCTTTACTGAAATCTAAATAAATTATATCATATGACTTATCATTATCTACCTTCATATACTTCTGAAAAAGCTAAGCAAATTTGGGAGACAGAACGTCCTGGGTGAACCCGTGTTGAGAAGAATGAATTAAGTTGAATGTTTCAAGGTGGCTTCTGATTTTAGCAATAATTGACTCTAGCAACTTGCCTATGATTGACGTGAGACTAATGGGATGATAATTTGATGCTATTGATTTATCACCTTTGAAAATCAGACTACATTTGCGATTTCCAAGCCTTCTGGCACTAGGCCCGATTCTAATGACTTATTAAATAAAACTGCTAATGGATTACTCAACTCATCTCTACATTCTTTTGATATTCTAGCATATACCTCGTCTGGACCAGGCGATTTATGAGGCTTCAGTTTGTTAATTACTTTAAGCACATCGTTACTAGTAATATTGATATTCATCAACATATTTTCTATACTGTCATTATATACCTTATGAACTTCTGGAAACTGTGCTAGGTTTTCATTTGTGAATACGGAGCGAAAATGACTATTTAACGTACTACACATTTCTAACTCATCATCAGTCATTTCTCCTGTCGAAGCTTTTATGTAGACCTATTGTATCTCTAACCTTTTGATTTATACAGTTGATAAAGAGAGAGGGAGAGAGCGTAGAGAGAGAGAGAGAGAGAGAGAGAGAGAGAGAGAGAGAGAGAGTTTATTTTGTGATGTAAGAACAAGAGAGTTTATTTTGTGATGTAAGAACAAGTGTTTCCTGTTGGCAGGTATAGAAGAAATGAAGGAAGAGTTGAGGAGGCTGCAGGACGTGCACGAGGAGGAGGTGAACAGCCTTAAGTCTCACATCAACGCCCTTAGCACCCTCATTAACAACAGTAAGTACGTGTAAACTTTGGCTAATGAACTCTCATACGAGACTGTGACACCACTGCCAACAGTTCCAACCAATAAACACCAATAAGTGTCCAGAAGTTGGTCAAGAATGACAGCAGAGGTGTTCATTATTTATAGTAATGGTTGTGTACATTAATGTGTTCTCGTCTGTATAAGATCATTTCGATTCTTAATGAACAAAACTAACATAAAACTAATATAATTACAGGTGTAGAGACTATAAATGAAGTATTAGCGAGCAGGATTGATCACCAGCAGGAGGAGGCCAGCTCGAGCAGGTCACAGATCAACTCTCTCACCACCCAGATGAGATCCATGGAGAGGAAGGTTGAGCTAAACAGTAAGTTGTGCAACTGTGTCATCGTCAGTTATTGTTCATCTCCAAGAAGAACAAACAGTTAGTCTTGTGGAGTCAACCAGTGAAAATTGGCTAAAAATCGTAAAATATCAATATTCTAGCAACAAATCCTCACTGGTGTGTTTGGTCATGACTCTCAAATACCGACGTCTTATTCCCGTATTCCTCTTAATATTTGATATATAAAAAATCTTCCCCTCTTGCCGGCTCAAAAATACTAATCATATCCATATTTTTGGTTGTAAGATATTGTGACTTTTGTCTATTAATGGTCTAAGGTATACAGTATAGGATAAATGGAATAATAAAAATTGCTTAAGGTTAGGTTTTACAATTAGTATTGCACCGAGAGAACAAAAATCAAAATTTTAGTCAACGTCTGACCGTTTGGTATATTAAGACCCCTCGTACACTGATGGTCATTACTGCCGTAGTCTTGTTCTATTGACCTTTCCGTCGTGTTCTTTGGTTTTTACTGTATTAGCCATTTTCTTCCTTCTGGTATGGAAATGATTCGTCGAGGTCGATAAACATGGTATTGGCACTTATGGGATGGTCTACAGTAAGATGTGCTTCTTGAGGTAACGTCTTCGGGTAGCCGACCAGAGCCGCTTGCCTAGTCAGCTTCCTTACCACGTGGAGCTGGTCACCTATCAGTTGGACCAGTTCGTCTTGGTCCAGGTTTTCAATTTCGACATGGGAGATTACTCGCATCACCAAGTTGTCGTCTTCGTTAATTTCAACCTTGATTGAGACGGCGTTGATGACGTTGACGTCCGACATCTGCCTGGAGTATCCCCATTGGGAGAAGGTGACCACTCATCAGTCTGAAGACGACCTTCATGACCTTTATCCCTGAGGAGTCGATAAACTTCCTCAGGACAAGGAGGTCTAGTTTCTTGTGGGAGGTGCTCTCGGCGGGGTACAGCCGAACCACCTTCACTTGGTCCCAATGCAGTGTCCACGTCGTACCACGGGAGCAGAGAGAGTCTTCACTCGCCGAGGTTCAGGTCCAGAATGTGAGATATTCTGAAAATATAAACATTTGGACAAAGTTAATGTTTATTTACATGCTTGTTTTATATTGTCTAGAAAAGTCTGCAGGGCGTCTAAGGTGTAAACATGATTCCCAAGAGAATCAATGATTGTCCATCGTCGGCCAAGGCTCGAGCTGGTCGCTGGGGCTCACACTGTGCCTGGGTGGGGGCGGGCCTTACTACAACCTGCATGACAATACCGTCTGTATGAGAAGCAGATCTGATACATGTGGTTATAATAATACGTCTGCTAGTAATGTTAAGTCTGCTACTGTTGACCTCCCAGTACATGATCATAACCGTGCTCACACGATTATCGCATTAAACTTACATTAACCTTATAGTGAACCATCGCTGTCAGAAGCATAACATTATCAGTATTAGACTCTAATTATACCGAGTCAACCCACTTCGAGTCGAAAATTCGTCCTTCACCGCACATGACGTCATCTGGCCGGCAGCCGGGCTGGGAGCTCAGTTACCAGCTGGTCGTCATGGTACGAAGGTTAATGATAATGCCAGATAAATGCTAGATGTATATCAAATTACAGACTACATGATAAAAGTTGGATATTTCATCGATTTCCAAAGGATGAAACCTCGCTCGCCAACCTCGGGTGTTTTAGAGTCACGTTATATATTCTAAATATCTTTAATTATTTAAAATGTCATTAATTAACACTAATTACTCAAATGTTTAAACTGTGAACCCAGACCATTAATCAGCTTTTAAAGTAATATAATTTGTATGAAATTTGAACAAAATCCATTGTGTGACCTCTAAGTGCCGTAACGCAAGGTATTAGGTCTGGTGTATTTTTTACGTCATTCGACATTTTTCTTTCTTCTAAAGTGAAAAACTACCTTGAGTAAAGATAGCCTAGTATATTTTTAAGAAAATGTATATAAAGATTATTTACATCTTACGTGCCCACCACAATTGACTTTAAGTAATTATATCAAAGATCAATCATTAATTAACACTAATTACTCGAATATTTAAATTATACTTTGTTGAAAAATCTCAGTATACTGTAGGTCCTCCTGAGTCTGTAGGCTGACTGAGAGAACGTGACCGTACAGGTGCCAACAGGACTGCTTAACTTGGGTGGGATTTACAATGTTTGTTTTATTAATGACGCAACAGTGTGTTTACTGCCAGCCGTGTTATGACAGTCTCAGGTGAGATAAAAGTGTAAGAGCAGTAAAAGTTGTCAATGCTGTTTGGTTTTATTCGACCTGAGACGTGGACTGTCTTTCGCCTCAGGAACATAACATTCCAGCCGTGAACTGACGGCGCCAGTGTTCTGATACAATGTACCGCTGTACACACAAGCGCTTACACTGTACAACCACTGATGTAGGGAGGTGGTGTTGTAGTGCCGCACATACTGTACTTACTTGTACCTGAACCAAATATTATACTGTACCATCAGGGAGAAGTCAATGAGATGTAAGGTGATAGAGGAGGGTGATAACATATAATTATTTCACCTGTTACTGATGACTATAATTCCTACAGGTGCGCTGCTAGTAAACGAAACCAACATTACTTCAGTATCAACCTGCACTGGTGATAAAGGTAAACTGCACTAATTATTGGTTTAGTAATAAATTATTAAAATGTTGATGATTATATTGTGATCTTAGTGTTAACTAGAGATCAACGTATTGAGTCAACAGTTGTATTGTCTGTGTGTTGCGTTGTGTTGTCTATGTGTTGTGTTATGTTGTCTGTGTGTTGCGTTGTGTTGTCTGTGTGTTGTGTTGTGTTGTCTGTGTGTTGTGTTGTGTTGTCTGTGTGTTGTGTTGTGTTGTCTGTGTGTTGTGTTGTCTGTGTGTTGTGTTGTGTTGTCTGTGTGTTGTGTTGTGTTGTCTGTGTGTTGTGTTGTGCTATGTTGACTGTACCACTTAACATCATTGGTATTAATAGCCCAAATCTTTCTTGACACAACCAACCCGCAGTACTGACGAAGCCGTCTGGTTACTTAGCGGTGGTGGACAGCGGTCTGTACCCTACATCCGAAGACTGTGGTTGGGAAGTGAAACTACCAGAAGATAATGACATTTCCTTAGAATGGTTGTTCATGTCAGTGGAGGAACAAGCAACGTGTGTATTTGACTACGTTACGGTGGAGAATCTGAACGAGCCTGGTCAACTCTTATATGGGTAAGTTTGTACAACACTTGGACTACACCGCAATAATCACGTTCATTGCTAATTTGTTTTTAAATAATCGGTATTAGTCGACTTTAATGTACTAATTTGATTTTTCTTTATAATTAGATTTTTTAATGTATAAAATGTGTCCACTAAGTGTCTTTAGCCGAGACACTTGTAATGTCAACCCATAAATAATGTTTCTAGTCAAATATAAATGGAAATACATATAAACACTAGCAAACAACAACAATATCAACAAAATATTAAGTCATTAATATTATTCATAAAAATAATAATAATAATAATAACAATTGCTATACATATTGTACAGTCTGTCTACACAAGCCTTCAGTGACAACATGTGTTCAGTACTCAAGACTGCATATATAAAGCTCTATGTCTAACGATTTTATAGTTCTTGATGTTTCTATTACAGAGGCAAGATATGTGGGAGTTCACTTCCAGCCATGATGAAAACAGGGAGTAATCACCTGAGAATTAGCTTCCACTCGGATGGCTCCTACGTCTTCAGGGGGTTCAAGCTTTTCTACCATGCAGAGTGAATTAAGGTGTGTGCTGGTATAGTGCTCAGCCACCAACGATATGTGCGTTACTTAAGGTGTGTGCTGGTGTAGTGCTCAGCCACCAACGATAAGTGCGGTAATTAAGGTGTGTGCTGGTGTAGTGCTCAGCCACCAACGATACGTGTGTTAATTAACGTGTGTGCAGGTGTAGTGCTCAATTAAGGTGTGTGCTGGTGTAGTGCTCAGCCACCAACGTTACGTGCGTTAATAAGGTGTGTGCTGGTGTAGTGCTCAGCCACCAACGTTACGTGCGTTAAAGGTGTGTGCTGGTGTAGTGCTCAGCCACCAACGATACGTGCGTTAATTAAGGTGTGTGCTGGTGTAGTGCTCGGCCACCAACGATACGTGCGTTAAATAAGGTGTGTGCTGGTGTAGTGCTCAGCCACCAACGTTACGTGCGTTAATTAAGGTGTGTTGGTGTAGTGCTCAGCCACCAACGATACGTGCGTTAATTAAGGTGTGTGCTGGTGTAGTGCTCAGCCACCAACGATACGTGCATTAAATAAGGTGTGTGCTGGTGTAGTGCTCAGCCACCAACGATACGTGCGTTAAATAAGGTGTGTGCTGGTGTACTGCTCAGCCACCAACGTTACGTGCGTTAATTAAGGTGTGTGCTGGTGTAGTGCTCAGCCACCAACGATACGTGCGTAAATTAAGGTGTGTGCTGGTGTGCTGCTCAGCCACCAACGTTACGTGCGTTAATTAAGGTGTGTGCTGGTGTAGTGCTCAGCCACCAATGATGTCGCGTCGTTAAGGTGTGTGCTGGTGTAGTGCTCAGCCACCAACGATCGTCTTGGTAAGGTGTGTGCTGGTGTAGTGCTCAGCCACCAACGTTCGTGCAATTAAGGTGTGTGCTGGTGTAGTGCTCAGCCACCAACGATACGTGCGTTAATTAGGTGTGTGCTGGTGTACTGCTCAGCCACCAACGTTCGTGCGTTAATTAAGGTGTGTGTTGGTGTAGTGTCGCCACCAATGATCGTGCGGTAAGGTGTGTGCTGGTGTGCTCAGCACCAACGTCGTCTGTTAAGGTGTGTGCTGTTGTAGTGCTCAGCCACCAACGTTACGTGTAATTAAGGTGTGTGCTGGTGTAGTGCTCAGTCACCAACGTTACGTGCGTTAATTAAGGTGTGTGCTGGTGTAGTGCTCAGCCACCAACGATACGTGCGTTAATTAGGTGTGTGCTGGTGTACTGCTCAGCCACCAACGTTACGTGCGTTAATTAAGGTGTGTGTGCTGGTGTAGTGCTCAGCCACCAACGTTACGTGCGTTAATTAAGGTGTGTGCTGGTGTACTGCTCAGCCACCAACATTCGTGCGTTAATTAAGGTGTGTGCTGGTGTAGTGTTCAGCCACCAACGTTACGTGCATTAAGTAAGGTGTGTGCTGGTGTACTGCTCAGCCACCGTTCGTGCGTTAATTAAGGTGTGTGCTGGTGTACTGCTCAGCCACCAACGATACGTGCGTTAATTAAGGTGTGTGCTGGTGTAGTGCAGCCACCAACGATACGTGCATTAATTGGTGTGTGCTGGTGTACTGCTCAGCCACCAACGTTACGTCGTTAATTAAGGTGTGTGCTGGTGGTGCTCAGCCACCAGCGTTACGTGCGTTAATTAAGTGTGTGCTGGTGTACTGCTCAGCCACCAACGTTACGTGCGTTAATTAAAGGTGTGCTGGTGTAGTGTTCAGCCACCAACGTTACGTGCGTTAATTAAGGTGTGTGCTGGTGTACTGCTCAGCCACCGTTACGTCGTTAATTAGGTGTGTGCTGGTGTAGTGCTCAGCCACCAACGTTCGTGCGTTAATTAGGTGTGTGCTGGTGTACTGCTCAACCACCAACGTTACGTGCGTTAATTAAGGTTGTGTGCTGGTGTACTGCTCAGCCACCAACGTTACGTGCGTTAATTAGGTGTGTGCTGGTGTAGTGCTCAGCCACCAACGTCGTGCATTAAATAAGGTGTGTGCTGGTGTAGTGCTCAGCCACCAACGATACGTGCGTTAATTAAGGTGTGTGCTGGTGTAGTGCTCAGCCACCAACGATCGTCGGTAAGGTGTGTGCTGGTGTAGTGCTCAGCCACCACGTTACGTGCGTTAATTAGTTGTGTGCTGATGTAGTGTCAGCCACCAACGTTCGTGCGTTAATTAAGGTGTGTGCTGGTGTAGTGCTCAGCCACCAACGTTACGTGCGTTAATTAAGGTGTGCTGGTGTAGTGCTCAGCCACCAACGACACGTGCGGTAGTAAGGTGTGTGCCTTTGTTATGCTCAGCCACCAACGTTACGTGCGTTAATTAAGTGTGTGCTGGTGTAGTGCTCAGCCACCAACGTCGTGCGTTAAATAAGGGTGCTGGTGTAGTGCTCAGCCACCAACGATACGTGCGTTAATTAAGGTGTGTGCTGGTGTAGTGCTCAGCCACCCGATCGTCGTTAAATAAGGTGTGTGTGGTGTAGTGCTCAGCCACCAACGTCGTACGTTAATTAAGGTGTGTGCTGGTGTGCTCGTATACCAACGACCGCGTTAAATAAGGTGTGTGCTGGTGTAGTGCTCAGCCACCAACGATACGTGGCATTAATTAAGGTGTGTGCTGGTGTAGTGCTCAGCCACAACGATACTGCGTTAAATAAGGTGTGTGCTGGTGTAGTGCTCAGCACCAACGTCGTGCGTTAATTAAGGTGTGTGCTGGTGTAGTGCTCAGCCACCAACGATACGTGCGTTAAATAAGGTGTGTGCTGGTGTAGTGCTCAGCCACCAACGATACGTGCGTTAATTAAGGTGTGTGCTGGTGTAGTGTCAGCCACCAACGATACGTGTGTTAAATAAGGTGTGTGCTGGTGTGGTGCTCAGCCACCAACGTACGTGCGTTAAATAAGGTGTGTGCTGGTGTAGTGCTCATACCAACGATACGTGCGTTAGTAAGGTGTGTGCTGGTGTAGTGCTCAGCCACCAACGATACGTGCGTTAATTAAGGTGTGTACTGGTGTAGTGCTCAGCCACCAACGATACGTGCGTTAAATAAGGTGTGTGCTGGTGTAGTGCTCCATACCAACGATACGTGCGTTAATTTAGGTGTTTGCTGGTGTAGTGCTCAGCCACCAACGATACGTGCGTTAATTAAGGTGTGTGCTGGTGTAGTGCTCAGCACCAACGATACGTGCGTTAATTAAGGTGTGTACTGGTGTAGTGCTCAGACCAACGATCGTGCGTTAAATAAGGTGTGTGCTGGTGTAGTGCTCGCACCAACGATACGTGCGTTAATTAAGGTGTGTGCTGGTGTAGTGCTCAGCCACCAACGATACGTGCGTTAATTAAGGTGTGTGCTGGTGTAGTGCTCGGCCACCAACGATACGTGCGTTAAATAAGGTGTGCTGGTGTGGTAGTAAAATGAACTCAAATTTCTATAGATCTATTGATCATTATTAAACATATTACAAGGTGATGTGTCGAGATTTTTTGTTAAAGCAAATTGTTTTGAACTGAGTAAGCAAAGCAAATCAGCTTCCTGCTGTGTACTAACTGTGGCCTCCAGGTGTCTGTTAACCCATTGGCCATCAGCTATTCTTCCAACTATTGGCCATGAGCTGCGTAGCTGTTGGCCTCCATCTCTGTGTGTTAACCGTGTGCAAGCTGTGTCCTTGTGACCCATCAGCTTGTGTGTCAACTGTGGCCATCAGCTGTGTGTCAGCTTCCATGGCCTCCAGCTGTGTGTGTTAACCGTGTGCATCAGCGTGTGCCAACTGGCAACCATCAGCTGTCAAGTGGTTACAAAGGCAGCGGCGTCGTAAGTGACTCTAATTGCGGAAAGGCCAGATATGTTATTACTCGGGGTGAACGTGACAAAGTTCCTTTAGGTCCATTCACAAGAGTTGCTGAGGTCGTTAAATATTGGGGCACAGGCCACACGTTTCACCAACAGTGAAGTCTCTGGAAGCTGCTGTTTGTGTTGTGCTAACCTTTGTCACAAAGGAGACCCCACACTAGTGTAGTTAGATGCCGTGTTCCTCACACGAAGTCAACAACTAACACAGCCCGACAAAGACCACATTGCATAACCAGGCTACTGTTGTTGGTGTTCCAAATGTGATAATCTTTCCCTTTGTCTCACTCTTTAGATGCTTCACCTATAGGACACTTACGTAACAACTTGTTTTACTTTCTGTTTTACACAAACATTTTACTAGCTCTCAAAGTGATTTGTTTTGCTCTGTAAGTTGTCGGTACTGAAAATGGGGTCTCCAACCTTTCTGCAGCACACACTGAGGACACCTGCTCCACCTACAGGGATTACCTGCTCACCTGCACTGAGACACACCTGCTCCACCTGCACGGACACCTGTGCACTCACCCTACTGAGGACACAGTTGTCCCACCTGCCTAGTACCCACATCTGTCCCACCTGCTGAGGACACATCTGTCCCACCTGGGGACACACACCTGCTCACCTACTGAGGGACCTACATAACTTTCCACACCTACGAGACCACACCTGTCTACTGAGGGCCCATCTGTCCCACCTACACAGGGACACCTGCTCACCTGCAGAAATGCCTCCCACCTACTGAGGGACACACCTGTTCCCACCCTGCTGAGGACACACCAATGCTCACCTGCTGAGACCACCTGCTGTGCAAAGTTGAGACACAACACACTGCCAAGTGAGAGGCTCTTGAACACATACACACCTCTACAGACTGATGATATCACACACAGACCATCTACACTGGTGGATGCTCCTGGCTTGCACCTGGGAGGGCTGGAGATGCTATTGTTGTGACTCAACTGACGGTAATATAATGGTGAAAGGAGTTAGAATTAACAACTGGGCATCCACTCTACAAAACTGAATTAGTTGCCTACTCACAGCTAATAAGTTCATTGAAACCACTGTTACTGACAGTCTCATCATCCTGACTCTCTATAACACTACTTGCCCGCCAGTGCCCTCGACTCAGGTTGTCACGCTCTTGTCTCTAAGCCAGACACAAATATGCGTGCCTTGTTGACCGGGGTGTCAGGTCAAACTGTTAATGAATCCTCTCACAGAGGCCTCATAAAACATGACAGAGTTGATGCCTCGCCAAACTCGCGTCTAACAAAGACACCAAGTGGAATACAATTTGGGTCTGATAAAAGAACCCTTAAACTGTAATTAGGAAG